AAAAGTTAACCTATACATCTGTGTCATCAGTCGTTTCTTTTATTTGCTTCTAAACATAGATGCTTCATCCACAGTATCGCATTTTGATTTTTAAGCTCTTTCAAGATAATATAAGAAAAAGTAGTGAAACCTTGTTGTATTTTAAAAAATAATAATGAATACTTGCAGTATATTTATTCCTTGGAGACACTCTTGTCAGAGCAGCTTCAAAGACAACAGCCAAGTAAAGACTGCTGTAAATACATACTAGACACCTAATAATGAATTCCCATAAGAACAGTTGATTTAACGAAGCTTGTGGGTATAATTGAAATTTGTAAGAGAAACAAGGCTATACAGATGGCTATTTCATTAGATGACAGTGTCTTGATGATCTAACAAAATGCTGTAGCAAGGTCTCAATTTGTTTTTCACATCTTTATGTCCTACTAAACTATATCTGTCAAATGGAGAAAAACATCTGATGGGTGTTCTATTAAGTAATTAAACTAAACTAGGTTGCTCAGACACTGGTACTGAGCTTGAATAATTTCGGAATACTTAAAAAAAATAAATTATTGGTTGGTAGTAGGTTAGTATAAAGATAATTTTAAAAGTATGCAAGAAAGATAATTCAGCTGTAGCGCGATTTTCCGCAGGCTCCGTACTAGGTTCCTGGAAGCTAACTTGGTTACTTGCATATGAGATATCTTTTGGTCATTTCATAGCCTTTACCTATCCAAATCAATTCTTTTCATCGGGATAGTTAAGTGCCAGCTAAGCTAAGCCACTTTTCACACTGCAGCTCTCCTGCTAATGAAAACAGCAGCAGTGAAATATGTGCTGGGGAAGTGGATGTGAGTTCTTCAGAAAGCATCTGCTGCTTGCTTTAACAGCTGGCCCGTGTCTTCAAAGGCAGCAGCTACTGGGAATGGCACATCCCTTTGTTGCTTATTTGGCATGTCTCAGTGTAACTCAGATAGAAGAGCTGGTGATGCGGGACAGCTTAATAAAAAACAATTACCTAAGACAAACATGGCAGGGTGGGAGGAACTATAGAAGAGGACACAGCAGACTAAATTTTTTTTTTCATGAGTTCATTCAACGTGTTGCAATTTGATGTGTTCATTGTAAGGCATCATACTAATGTTTCACTAGCCTAAATATGCTTTTGTCTGATGTGATCATGACTTACACAGTTGTTTCAATGAAAGCTTGCACTGTTTCTGGTGCTCATAATATGGAAAACCAAATTTGCTGTACTGCATTTCTGTTTAATCAAAATGTAAATGGATCAACTGAAAGGTGACAAAACACAGCCCAGTGTAGATGAGGCACAAATGTATTTTCTGAAATTCAGGGCTGCCTTTCAGAGGTAAATTTAGGCTTTCTGTAAACAATAATGAAAGAAGAAGAGTTATTTTGTGATGTGGAGACCCCTACTTCATGCATGAGTTCTGTATCTCATTCCTCAGGCACTTGTACATCTACATGGGCTCTTAATCAGTGTATGCCAGGCCCTTCTTTTTGATGCCACTTGCATAAATGATCCCATCACACCTACTGGTAAAATTACAATGCTCTTCTGTATGTGTCTTTCATGTTGGAAAAAATGTTTGAAAGTTATTTTTAAGTGTTTTTTTTTTTCTTTTCCTTAAATAATTTCTCCTGTCTTTTGTCAGATTTGTCAGCATTAATAACAGGTAAAAGTTTTGGTAGGGAAAATTTGCAGTAGCAGTTTTATGCTTATTTTTACAGCTGTTGTTATTCCTGGAGCTTTAGCATAATACAGAACAAACTCCCTTACCCAAATTCTGTCTTTTTCTTTGTGGCAGTAGTGGAACATTTTTGCTGAATTTTTCAGTCCTAGGCTACTCTCTGCAATGTCACGTTTCAATAGTAACCATTTGTAAGCATAGTTATGGATGTGTTTATACTGATTTTGCTATGAATATAGAGAACAGGACTGAGATTAGCTTTATTATAGAAGCAACTGGTTGTGTGTACTAGCAGAGCCATGTTGGAAAACACCTGCAAACATACTGTCCCCCTCCTGTTCCTGCCTCTTGCCCTGAGGCAATCTGTGGTTGTCTCAGGTTAGCAGTATACATGGAGGGATTTCTGGATGATCGGAAGTAAGGTGTTCTTTAGGATGTTTGCTAGTGTAGACAGATACTTGAAAGAAGAATAAGTGATACAAAGTACCTGGCAAAAATCAGGTACGTACCCAGGCAGAGGCATACAGTTTAAGGAGAAGCTGACTGATTTTTTTTTTTCAATGGAAAGTTCAAAATCTTGCTGCCCTCTGGGAAATGTTAAGAGAAAAATGCCCTTGCAGTACATTGGTGGTTATGTGTGACAAGCTTAGGAATGTAATAATGATCAGAAACTAGTGTTAAATACCCTGTTACAGCATAGCATGAGAACGGGTTTGTGAAAGACAATAGCCTTATAATAGATTTTCTACTCCAGCTTCTAGGTGGTAGATACTGTGTTACATTTGGCAAAATGCGCATTTTGTTTATAGTATGGCATTTGGGAAGTATATCATGAATAGCAGGCCTCAATTTTCTTTGGAGGGAATCTGTTCAGTATGGAGAATTTCATCGATGTGCCTTGTATCCAGCAGATCCCACAGGACAGTGGCGTTGGAAAGTCAGCGATGAGAAAAGTGTAGAGTCTACTGGAAAAGCTGCTGTCTGCTGCATCCTTGCTTTGTATTTGTAATATATATAGGAGTATTCCATCATAAGCATGTCATGTTAGATATCCTGCCATGTGGGACACTGTATTTACTACCTGAATCAGGAATCCCTTTGCAGTTGGAAGTAATGAGAAGCTAAAAAATGGAAAAGGTTGGCAGATGAAGGAAACAATCGGGTTACAACAGAAGTTCAACCAAGATCCAAGAAAACAGCACTGAACTCTGGAAAGATTCTGCAAAGAAGTTTTGAGTAGCTCTTATGTCACATGAAATGGGATAAATCTAAGAGATAAATTCTGTTATTAAACTACAGTTAGTTGTGAGTCAGTAGACACAGTGGGAAATCACCTACTACAAGTCTTATGAGATGCCGAAAGCACTAGATAGCACTGAAAGCAGTTCTGAGATCAGTTGTGTAAGGGTACTAGAAGAGGGCAAAAAAGGGGTTGTGAGAGTGTGAGCTTGATTTGGAAACAGGTAGATAAATGCTGATCCTTGAATTGGTTTGAGGAAACCAAACAGTCTCCATGAATTCAAGCAGAAGCGTCTGTAAAAATCGGAATCTGGTCAAGACCCTTCCAAGTTGAGCACAATACCAGTGTTTAACCATCCTCAGTGATTTTTTTAAACTTACATCTAATCAGAATTTTCCATTTTCCTACTTGTGTCAGTTACCTCTAGCCTTGTCTATACCATCCCATTAAGTACTGAGGACGGCAGTCCTTATGCTTCGTAACAAGTATGAAAAATGCAAAGAAGAAAAGGGCATTATCAACACTCCAAAGTTTAATTGTTTTGTATATGTAATCCTCTTTAGAAGCTTCAGACCTTGCCACATTGAAGAAGTGAATGTTTGCATTGTAGTCAAGTGCTTACACTATTTGTAAAGCACTTGTATTTTCTTGCAGAAAATTTATAGCTTATTATGTTACCAATAGAGAAAGTTAAAATGATTTTATGAAACTGAATTTATTTTTAAATCTGCACTTTAAAAATATATCTATTAAATATTGCTATCAAAATGAAGGTTAAGACATATGATGAGACTTCAGTAATTATTCATGGCTCTTAGTGTTGGTTTTGCAGGCACAGAGTGCCCATAATGTGGTCTCTCAGTTGCATGAAAAAGGACTTTTGAGAGAACGGCTGGTAACTGACTTCTGCAGGATCTTCTCTGAGAAGTGTAGTGCCTGATAAATGTGGCATGAAGAATTGATTTTATGAGCCAGTAGTCCTGGAGTGAAAGTGTTATCAGGACTGCTAATAGCCTAATCTGAGTTTGAGATACCCATTATCATAAGTTGTTGTTAGTCATGAATTCCCATCAGAGCTATTTTGTCAGATGAGGCTTCCATAATGATGATGTTTTTTATTCATAGCAACAATATTTTTGTTTAGATATATGTACCACTATCAGACCCTTTAATGATTTTTTTTTAATGTGGAAGGGTACAGGCTCTTAGAAGCTTGGAAAATGCTGAGAATTCTGGATCACATTAAATAAAATGCTTATCTTGTATATATGATGGGGCCAGTTAACATATTTAATTGCTCTGCTTTCCCTGGGCCGTTATGCTGCAACCCCAATTATGACAGCATGAGAGGTGAATAGGGCATTGAAGTTATCCCAGGATATGTACAGGCTAGCTAATCTTATTTAAAAAAAGATATTTGAACTGTAAATTATACAGTATGGGAAATTTTTATGCTTCAGAAATTTGTCTTGCTAGAGTTAGAAAAAAATAAAGAGTGAGAAAAGAATCTGAGAAGAAAAAGTGAAAGGAAGAAAAGAGGTAGTATGGGGGTTTTGTGTGTGTGTTTTGTTTTGTTTTTAAGAACTACTGTTTTTTGAAAAAAATGAGTATTCGCAGTTGTGAAAGTGAGGTACAGGTAAAGTATACACTCTTCAGAACAATTCAGCCTTACATATACTCTGTTTAACTTTTAGGTAAAATATAAAACTTATTTGAAAACAATATTGAACTAAACATACATTTTTGTCAGTACCAAGTACTGGCAGTAAGGAAAGTTCTAAAGCCATATTTTTTGCATATTTAAAACGCTGATAATCTAATGGTAAAGCTAAAATACAGGGGATTAGTTTGCAGAATGAAATTCCCCCTTCTGTAACACACTCTGACTTCCAGTGCACCAGCAAACCATTTACTGGACACAAGCTGCTTGATTTTCTTTAAACTAATCTAGAAGGAAAGAAAAAATGGTATGAAAATTCTAACAAAAAAACCTCAAACCCACCCATAGCAGTAGAAAGAATATTCAGATTTTTTCTCATCTTGATTTTTCCTTTCTTTGACAGTGACTTGTTATCTTCCAATTATGTGGAGATTCACTATGAAGATGGAAAACCAAAGTTTTCTAAGGTATTGTGCTCTTAAAATGTGTCAGAATGGTCTATCTGAGGGAACAATGCCAATAAAATGTTGCAAAAAGAGAAAAGTTTTGCAAGACTTAAAAGCACCAGAAGCCTTTTTCCACACATACAGGGTAACTGTGATCTCATCTTGTAAGCATACCTCAGTAATACAAGAAGAATTGTACAAAAAAGGAAAACTGTGTGTCGGGGTGAGGGATAGGCAGTGGTAGGTGGTGGTGGTGAAGATGATCCACATACTGCCAGAACAATTACATCTTGTAGAACATAAGGGATGGAGGGGTTGAAGTCACCATCGGTATAGTCTTCATTAATTATTGACGTGTCCTTAGCACAAAGTGCAAGGGGAAGGCATAATGGTAATGTAAGACATTCAAACAAACCAAAAAAACTTGCAGTGACTTTTCTTTGCAAGAATTACACAGTTGTGAAACAGAGAATGAAAGACTTAACTCTAGAGGTTAAAATTTCAGTTATTACAAAACCAGCATATTGCTTGACATCCAATTAATTATATTTGTCAAACCAGCTCCCAAATTGAATTCAGTGCCATAGGCTATTGATCCAAAGACAAAGAGATTAAAGTTATGCAAGATAGTTCAGCCCTGACTAAGGGAACCAGATCAGTCTTTTTGTTTGTTGTAGTAACAAAATGAGGACTGGTAGGTTCCTAGGAAGGTTATAAACTACGTTCTCAGGGAATTACTTTTTTCATATTTGGTATGAATGCTGGAATATTTGTTGTGAGCTTATTACATGTGAAATATATCTCTATTTAGAGTGGTGGAAAGCAAGCATTCAAGTTGCATTTATGCCGTCAGCAAGTCAGGATTGTTGTTTGTCCAGGTATTACATGTCTAGTTTGTTATTTTGCTCTTGTTATAGAGAATCTTAAATAAAACAATGTATGGTAGATGAGGGCAAAATTAAACAATCACATTGCAATATAATCATTGCAATATACTATTTTGTTTTCTTCCACTGAAGAAGTAAAATAGTTTCACATAACATGTTAAGGAAGTTGTTTCATTAAGACGCAGTACTCTGCAGAATAGGCAAAAATGGTAAGTGATGCAAGAAAACAATTCCCTCTGGCATTTAGACAAGCTCATGCAATTGTCAGCTGCAGCACTAGCAGTGAGCACTGCGGTTGCTGAATCATGAATCTGACTGGAAAATTATATTAGAACTTTAGACTCAGCAAATGGACTACCTTTGCATGCTGCAGTAACTTGATCCAAACTTCCTAGGGGATGTTTTCTGAATTGATTTATTTAGAAACACTAATAGAGCTCCTGAGGTCACATTAATCTGTAAAAGGCTTCATTATAAGTTCAGAAAACACACACACAATTTGTGTAGGAGATCAAATAAGGACTGTATCCTGGTCTTTTGCAGTATCTTATAATCCCGTTTAGACCTGAGTAAGTAAAAGATTGTTTTGTTTCCTGATGTGCGTGTAAAGAAATGAGATCTTGCTGAAAATTATTGTATTTCCTAGAAAGGGGTAGTTTATCACAAAAGCGAAAACACCACTGAAGAACAAACAGCAATTTCTTTACTCAGAGGACTGTCTTTTAAAAAAAAAAAATCTTGAAAAGCTACTTGTGTGAGAAAGATAATCATGATTTAGTTGTTACAAAGCATGGCTTTTGCATTCTCACTGATGGAAAGGTGAATATGTAGTGATTGCTTTCTGTGTAGTACTTTAATTATGCACAATAGTCTGTTAGGAATTTCATTCAGAATCTGAATAACTCATTTAATAAGATGCAAAATGGAAATAATGCTGTGCATACTTAAACAAAGAGCATTTACATTTTTGGTACTTCCTTGAGTTACAATAATTGCAGAAGGAATGGGTCCAATATGCTTGTTGGAATTCAGATGACGTGCAACACCAGAATTAAGAATATTTTGATGATGAATGTTATGTTTTTCAAACAATATGTGAGAGAGACAACCACACTTAGGGGTTTTTAATAAAACTTTTTGAGAATACTTTTTATCTTTAGTTTAGCTGGGGTTATTGTTGATAGACTACTTAAATGAGGTAAATTAGTATCATTCAGTTTTCCTCATTTTAGCGTCACTGACATATAGCAGCAGAATTTGTGGTATTTAACAGCTTCTAAATTCACCAGTCCTTTTTCTTTAGAACAGTCAAAGTAATGTTTCTTGGATTCTTTCTAAACATTCATAGCTTGAACAGTCTGTTAATGTTGCTCTTGATATTTATTTTCTGTCAACAGAAATAAAGTATACTCTTCTTGTTTACTCAGTTGAACCATTCCTATGAAGCCAGTATATTTCACCCTTAGTCGCAATAAGTAGTTCTGTAAGCCTTTAACAGTCCAATCGATTTATTCCTCAGCGATTTATGGAATTTTACATATTAGTAATTCTTCTGTCCAGCAATAAGGATAGAATTAATTTCTGTATCAGAACAGAGATAAAGGATTTAATAACTTGCCATGTGGCTGCCTATAGTATGTAATCCTAAAAATATGCTAAAGCTTTTAGGTTTTCATACATATTTAGCTATTTACAATCAAATAATACAAAACTCTTGATAGTGCAGTAGACCTCTACTTCCATTACATGGAGAAATTAAATCACACAGATTTAGTACATAGAAGAAAGCTAGAACATATAGAGAAAAATGACAAATTGTAAAACTACAGAAAGTAAAAAAATTGGAGATTTAAAAAGATCTTAATGAAATTATTTTAACACTAGTAATTCTTGTATGTGAGTAGATGATGCTTTGACAAAATAATTATTTCTGAATTTCTCATCTGAATAATTTATTTATTGTAGTCTGCCGTTAAGGCCTCTTCCTAGAAGCTTCCTAGTTTCTGGGGTACAGAATCATGCTCACTCTTTCTGACTTCATAGATCTTTGTGTTTTCTACAAAATGAGACTGCGTTAGCTTGATTCATGTGGGGTGCTCTGACGCAAAGTAGCCAGTAACTTTGGAGATTAGAGCACACTTTTAGAAGGTGGGGAGATGTGAGTTGACGCTCCTCAAGGTGACCTGGGAAACGGCTCAGCAGTTGGGGAACCTGGGATGAGTGCTGTAGTTATTAGCCAGAGAGGGGCGTTGTCGTGTAATTGTCAATATTTTGAAAAGAAAGGCACTGCAACTCCATTTTGTGAGGGTCTGTCTTGTCACTCTGTCTTAAGTGTGTTCTGCACATGCTTGAAGTTCTCTGTCCACTTTAAGGAGAGCTTAGGAGCTAGTTGCTTCAGGAGAGGAGAGCTCAACTTAGCTCATTTTATGATGAAAACCAGGCAGGCCCAGGGAACCTGCACTTTTTATTCAGAGGAAAGCATGTAGCATTCACTAGAGTTTAATTGGCATCTAAGCTAGGCTTTTCTGGATCAGAACTTTAAGTATGTACCAATTCTCCTTTGTGGTATTTTGGTCTCCTGCTTTGTCCTGTCCCGTCTGTGTGTGTGTCCCCCCGCCATACGCATTGCAACTTCCCTTATGCTCTTGTGGAGAAGTGGAAGACTACACAGAGCTTCATTGTACTCCCATTTTGTAGCACATTTTGCACTAATTCTATTCAGCCTAATCCCTGCATCAGATGACTGTTCAAATCTTGCATTGCAGCATTCAGCAGGGTCTCCCTTACTCTTCATATCATTAGGGCCTTTGAGAACTGAGGTTTTAGATCACAGTTTTGGATGTAGTTTGCCTAATTTTGGTGTGTGTTTGTTTGTTTGTTTTTTAAAGTCTCTAACATTTAAACACACTTCTAGGTAATTTAAATGTTATTATTTTTTAAATAAAAGGCAGGACCTTGTCTAAAACATGATTGCTGACTTCCTTAGAGAAACACAAAAATCCTGCCCTTTTTTGAATAATTTGGGTTTTGCATATATTTCCAATTTTATGCAATTAAAATCAAGAGTTGACTTTTGGTACCCTTTTGATATGTACAGTAAAAATGCAACTGTGCACTTTAGTGTTGCTAAACTGGATTCACTTTCTGGCTCATTCATCATTAGTGATATTGGTACCTACAGTGTAATGATGTAATATTATAACTGATAAATTTTTAGGGAGACAAAATCGGTAGAATCCAGATCTAAGCCAAATACATGCCAGGTGATTGATTGAACACTGTATCACTTGTAATTTTAACAGACCTGGAAGGCATCAAGAAACAATTCAATGCTCATGTAACCTGCATTACCTAACATTTTTACAGAATCAGTTTACAGCAAAGAATTGCACTTAAAAAAAGATCAAGAATGCTGTGACTTCAACAAAAGAATAACCCATGTTATAGATTGAAGACTTATATAAATTAGTCTTTACTGGGCACAGTTCTTCTCTTATAAGCAATTAGGGCTAGTCATTGGTATTTACTTTACTAATCACTGCTTTATCTGAAATTTTACCTAATGCAAGGTATTAGATCTTTTTTTGCCTTGGTTTTAAGCAACAGACATTAAATCAGAGTAATTGTATGTGTGTGTGTGTGTGTGGTTTTTTGTTTGTTTTTAAACATTATTAGGGTGGAGAGCATTGTTACTACCATGGAAATATCAGAGGTATCAAGGATTCCAAAGTTGCTCTTTCAACTTGCAATGGACTTCAGTAAGTGCATGTTCTCATTTTTCAAACAAGGCTATTAACTAATTATTACTCTTGAATATTATTTTTTAATATGTGAGGGACTGAAACTCTACAGGCCCAAAGATTTTTGATGTTCTGAAATGCCAGTACCAGCTATGCCAAACTGCTAGCATTTTTTTTTAGTATCGTTGGGATTAAAGTCTTTTGATGCTATCTCATGAAACCTTTGATTATTGTAAGTGCAAATAAATATTTCACCAGATAACTTATTAAGGTAAAGCATAAATGAGAATTGTACTTCAGCAGTTTGCATGCTCAGTATTCATGCGTGATTCTGTCAGCCAATAGAAAAATTGATCTCTTTGTTAGATTGTACAAGGAAAAAAATGTAAGAAATTAGTCCTTACTAGGATTAATTACTAGTAAGTGCAACTCACCTGTTGATTGTATTCTGCCTGCTAATGTGTGCCTTAGGACTTCCTCTTTCCAAGGTCAATTCTTTACTCTCTTTGGTGCTTTATCATTAGATTGCCATTACATTCAGTGTTAGTTCATTCAAATGCGCCTGATCTCTTAAAAAAAAATTCTTAGCTTTAGCCACATGCAGTAGTAATGAACATATATGGAATTTATTTTAATATTGATCCGTTTTTCATCCCTAAGTTTGATTTTGTCCCATCAAAAAATCATATCCTGGAGTCAAATTAATTGCCATGTAATCCTAAATATCACTTCGTTTTCTCCATGTTCTAGTGGCATGTTTGAAGATAGTACTTATTTGTACTTGATAGAACCGATGGATCTGACCCACAGCTCGGTAAGTTTATTTTTATCTAATTTATTTGGTTTGGGAAAGAGAATGCTCAAGGAATAGCAAATAAAAGTATTAGAATAAATCAATAAATGAATGACCTCTCTTATGCATTCATATGAAAAATGAAAGTATTTTAAAACACTTGATTGGAATTTACTTAAGGCAAGAAGTGTGTAAGTATGAATTACCTAAGATTTTTCTCTGCTTTTCTTTAATCTTTCTTTTCCTAGTTATTGTTGATCATTTAGATGCTGGGAGTAGACTAATAAGACTGTTCCCGTAGCAAATGGTTATGGACTGTCGAAAAGTGTTTATCAATTTGCTCTAGGACTTGAACTAAAGGGTTTATAAATTCATAGAAGGGATCTCTGGAAGTCATTTATTCATCCTTCTCTAAATAGTTGTATCAGATTGCTCTTGATCTACCATGTTTCCACAAAAAGCTTAATGAAGTAGAGCTTAATTACATCTGGGTATCTTTCACTTTATGTATGTTAAGTCAGTGGTCGCTGTATAGCTTAAATGATTCTGATCCAGCATATTCAAATATATGACTATGCTGGATCAGCATGTAGGACTGCATTTACACAAGTATCTTGCTAACTATTATTATTTTTGTACTTCATGTTAAGTATTATAATACAGCTGTTCCTATAACTTTAGCTGTTAATAGAACTGACTCAATTTCATAGACAGTGGTAAAACCAGGTAGATTTCTACCTCTTGAATGGTGCAAGGATTTGAGTGATTTTCAGTGAAATGATTCTGCAACATTGAGACAGAGAATTCTTAAGCTTTGTATCCTGCTTGGTCTGTAGGATATATTCCAGATGCTGTATCACAGCTCTCAAGCTTGTCTCCATCTAATACTTACCAGTGTATGACAAATAATGTAATGCTGCAGAACTGATATGTTTTAGTGACTGTAAAGCTGAACTTAGAGTCCAGAGAAAGATCTGCAAAATCTTCAACTCCTGACACTTTCAGAGAAACTGGATCAACATTCAGAGGAATCAATATCATTAGGATGGTCAATTATGGGGCTGTAAATGAAACTATAGAGACACAGGAAAATGTTACATCCAAAAAGATTTCTCAGTCTCCTTACGACCAATATTACATGCCATGTGTTAAGCTATGTAATGCATTTTGGTGTAGCACATATTCATAAAGGTTGTAAGGCTGAAAACTGACAGCACAGATACAGTAAATTAATGGAGATTATATTTATAAAATGGTATCCATATAGTAGCCAGAAGAGAATTTGTCTAAACTGTTTTCTTGCTTGGGTGGACAAAGAAAACCAGGATCTCTCTCTCAGTGTGATATTTCAGTAAAACTTGGAAGTAGAGCAAAAGTTCTAGTTATAAAAGTGAGATACAATCTGCCAACTCTGTTGAGGATTCAAGTGGCATTCTAAATAAGACAGATGAGGTGAATATTTTTCTCAAAACTACTGAAGATGAAAATAATACAGCTACAGAGAGCTTTCAGAGGCTCATTTTTTGATTGTACTACATGAGATAAATACCTTGGACACAGCCTTCAGCATGTAGTTCATTCAGCTTGATTAATCTTAACTACAGTAGATGCTATATAAAAGTTGTGTCCTCCCACCCCCCAAAAAAACCCAGCAAAAATATGCAGTATTTTCCTTCAATGTGTTATGTATTTCTTATGAAAGTTGCAGAACAGTAGCATCCTACCCTTTGAAAAGAATTTCTTCTTTTGGCAGGCTCTGCAGAGGAGGTGTTACGGAAGAAAAGATAGTTCTTTTCTAGAGCAGATACCAAAATGTGATAATTTGGGGCATGTCAGACTTCTAAAGAAAATACGCATTAGAAGTCTTCTCCTGTTTAAGTGTTGTATACACCAATAAAAAAGGGTGAAAAAATCCTCTTAAAGATAGCGTGTTGATTAGTTTCTTGCATTTTGCTGCAATTAGAACGATACATTTTTGTCATAAATAGTAATAGTTGCTTTTCATCTGTGGGAGGAAGATTTCAACTAGATATATACTCTCTCATTTGATTTATTGGAATAAATAGTCTGTGTTCTCTAACAGTAAGGCTTTTAAAGGACTTTTTTTCAAGTAATCTCAAAGACATCTGTGATACTTCTGCTTTGTAGGCCAGTAAATGTGCTGAAGCAGAGAGGCTCCATGATTTGCTCAGGATTGCAAATAGATTGCTTCAGATTAGTACTGTGCCAAATTGGTACTATGGTTGCTTGCATTTTATGGAAAAATGATAAAAATGATAAATACTGAAGGAACTACCTCACTTTTCACTTGACATTAATTAGAAGAAAATGTCATGTATTTTTCTTATCAGGAAAGTAAAAGTAGGCCACATATCATCCAAAGAACTTACGGAACACAAGCCTCCAAGCAGTTGCAGGACCTTGGTATGTTTTTGCTTCTGTTATGAGTTTTTCAATATTGGAAATAATTGTATATAACTTGAAAAATTTGTAACTTGAAAAATTTGAATATTAGGCTAACAGTCTCTATAAAATTGCTGATTATTTAGAAAAACTTGGAAAATAGATACTAACCTGACTTTTTTCACAATTATTGCAATGGAATTTAGAGTTGTCAAAAAGCAGCTGAAAGATTTCCATCCATGAAGACCTGTATTTAGCTTTCTTCTGCAAATCATTTAATGTAATAAGTGATATTAATGCTATTGAGGACACAAGATGGAAGAAAACATATATTCTAAGCCCAGGTTACAATCTCTTTACCTCCCCTTGCATGCTTTAATTCTAACTTTAGATTTGTAAATGACTTGAGTTTTGAAATGAGATATTTTATGTTTTGTGTATTTTAAAAAAGGAAGTTTTCAATAGCAAAGGTTCTTCTAATTTTGATGATCTTAGTCTACTTTTGGTTTGGACAGTGTACATAAGTAGTTTAAAATAATGCCATGAAATTCTTAAATTGTAATTTGTACAGAGACTGAATCTAGTTCTGAATGGCCCTTTCTGTCTGAACTACAGTGGCTGAGGAGAAAGAGAAGAAAGAGAGCAGTGAGTAGAAGTGTGACCTCGAGTTAAGACCATTTATAAAACCAAAACCACTAATTTCTGGATTTTTTAATGTTGAGAGAACATAGGCTTTAGAAAACAAATATTTTTGTTAGCTTAATATTGTCACATAATACAATTATCAAATGATAAACCAAGAAGGTTATTCTTGAAAAATAGAGTATTTGGAGAAAAGTGGATAAACTTTCTAAAGTGACAGCAACACCATTCATCAATTGAATGGAAGTTTAGTAGTGAAAATGAGTTGAGAATTTTGAGTCGGCTTGAGGATAAAGAATAATTTTGAATGAAGTCTTGCTACTTTGTAGTTATCTGACTTTATTTTCATTTGGCTTGTTAAGTAGCATGATTAAATTAAAAATCCAAATGAGGACACCCAGAACTGGGTTATTGAGAGAGCAGAAGTGGACAGTCCTTGTGATCTGTACATGCATATGTGTCAGTTAGGGGAATAATTGAGTTAAAGAAGATTAAGCTGTATTTCTTCACTGAGTTGCACAATCCACAGCATTTTTTTGAGGGCACATCTATTTTTATTAACTTCCTTCCTCATTAAATCTGTGATGAATAGTACAGTAGCCCAAGAGTTTTTAGTGCTTGAGATTTTTCTCCTTTGTGAAAATAAGAGGAAGGAAGCAGTGGTGGCTTCTCCACTGAACCAAAAAGAATAGACTCTAAACATTCTCAATGATCTGACTCAGATTCTCAGCCAGTGTCTATCATAACTCACTAAGTTACTGGAGCTATGATTATTTACTCTAGTTGAATGTCTGACCCAGTTTTACAGGTTTGCACACCCTAAGTAATATTTATGGGCAATCCTATTAAATCAGCTGCAGTTATTTTTGAAAATCACTGCATCTTCATGATTTCTCAAAGAATTTCTTTAATCCATCAGGTATCTCGTGGTGTCTTTGAAGAAATGAAGTATCTGGAGCTCATGATAGTCAATGACCATAAAATGGCAAGTACATCAATTCAGTGGTAATCTTCCTTCTAACTATAATTTGTAGGTTGATGTACAGCACTGTGCTACATCAGCTACTTTTGGGTCAAATATTTCATTTATCAGCAGCTGTTAACATTTGTACTGTAAGACACAGTGTAGGCCATAATACCTAATAATGCTTAATGTTACCTAAGATTTTCTACAGCAATTATATATTCAAAATATGTCTGAAACACTTTGGTATCATACGAATAATTTAATATGCCTATAACCAATAAAGTAAAGCAACAAAACGTTTATGTCCAGAACAAACACACTAAACATTCTAAAATTACATCCTATCCTTTAAGTAATAAAGAAAGAGGTCAGAACTTGTTACTTTGAGTTGAGTTTTACTAACTTAAATTTTAATGCAGCAAAGCATATAGACAAAACTATCTGATTGTTCTTCCTGGCTGTTCCACACCTATAAACAGGATTCATAATGAAGCGCAAGATAAGTTGTTTGTTCAATTCAGAAAGTGTTTGTAATTTGATTTAAAAAAAAAAAAAAAAAGAGGGGGGGAGGGGGGAAGCCCACTGTTTTTTTCCTTCTTGTCTTGAGGGATGACTGGAAAAAATCAGACCAAGTGACATTTGTTATTTAAATGTTACTGCTTTCACTAATTATGCCAAGTAAGGCTATCAAAGTGTCCATGTGTTACCCCTATGAAAAATCAAGAGAGAGGGGCCTGGGGAGTAATAAGTTTGTAAACCTCAACACCTATTTCATAGACCCTTTTTGAAAAGCATCACAAATTTGAGTCTAAAAGCAAGCTACATTTTAATTAGAGCATATCTGTTATGGAAAAATACTCAGTGTAGGTTTAAAAGTTTTCTAGTAACAAAGAATATACTACAACCAACAGTGAGTAACTCTAAAATCAACTTGGTTGTGCCTTGTTCTGAGCCCTTGTCTTGCTTAGCTTTTTCAGCTGTTCATTGACTAAGAGGCAAATAAGGATCATCAACTCTTAGTATGACTTTGCTTCTGTATGAGCAAGTCCTTTCTTTTAAATCAAATTCGGTTGATAAACAGTTTCTGCTTTTTTATGTGCAAGTAATATAAACTTTTAAGTTTCTGTAAGAGCTCCTTGCATCTCTCACTCTACTGCATGTTTTCCCAATGCTTTATGTTGTTGTGGGCTCTTTTGCCAGCACTGAAGGATGGTTTTATAGAGCCAGAAATAGCAGATACCAGAACAGGATGCAGTATTTGGTACTTGTTCCAGTGCTGAATAGACAGATAATACAACCTTCCCTCATTTGTTTAATAAATCATAGAAATAGTCTGGGCAAATATAACCTATATTTAATCTGCGTCAATTCAGCCATGTGGGGGGAATTCGAATGGGTGGAAAGAGTAGGACAGAAATTTCTTCAACTGTTTTCACTTGTAAAGCCACCTCATAGGAAACTATTCTAAGAGTGCTCACATGTTAGTTGTTTAGGGTAGGGCAGAGTAACGTGACATTTTGTTGTCTTGTTTGAGGTCTGTGGTTAGTGTTCCTTATGAAGAGATAATATTTCTATGTCTGTTTCTTCTGGCCTCTTGTATTACAGACATGCTTAAAGGACCATCCTGTTCACTGCACTTGTTACAGACACTAACTGTTGTCTCCTCTCAGGCTTTATTTATTAGAACTTTAGACCACAAGCATTCAAGATTTTTTGCTTCAGAGTTGTCAGTGACTCAGAAGCAGATAATAATTCTTTTCAAGGAATAAAATGGATATACTTAAGGAAGTGTTCACAATTACGAGTTAAATCCTGCCAGTCCAGGAGCTCACTAAATGTACTTTTTAAGGTTTTCTGTTTACCAGTAGAGGGCAGATTTCTCCTGCAGCAAGGTACTGTGTCAGAAGAAGTATCTTAAACCTCTTTGGCCATTGTGTTGTTCAGTGGTTAATACTATGTATTTTCACAAAATTTTGCTTTCCTGTAACACTAAAGACACAGCTAAACCTATTTAATTAGGTTGTTGCACTTTTTACTGACTTAGCTTAATTTCTGTTTTAGGAGCTGTGTTTAAACATGTTATGTTGTATATTGCTATTGATTTTGGCATTTAAATACTTTCATGAAAGCAAAGAACATTTTCCAAAGCATATTATTTTACCTTTCCACTTATGGGAAAGTTTGGGATTGGCTCAAAACAAAAAAAAACAAAGCCACCCTTGCCTCCTCCCCCTGCCCCCCCCCCTCCCCGTTATTTTGTTCTAGCATCATGGTTCCCTAGGGAGCAAACAGAGTCCTGTGATACAGATACTCTTCGCGGTGTACATCCTAAGGGCCTACTGGCACTGTAGCAGAAAGTGCTTTGTTTTGAGAACAGTTATAGGGGAGGGGGTCTCTGCAAACCTATGTTGTAGGATCTTTGGGTATTAAAACCTACTGTGGATGTGCTGTAGCATTGTGGAACTTCACAGTGAATAACTGCATATGTAAAAAATTTATCTTCTTCCAGTCAAATGAATGAGTGTCATCATTAAGGTTGATGAACTTTTTGTTAATCTCTATGGCATTTACTCCATATAAAACTAGATTGCTTGTGCAAAAATAACTGGAACTTAAAGGGATGGAAAATTTGTTATCTAATAATACACTCTGTGTGTGTCACTCTTCTGACTTTCAGTTTGAGAAACAGATTATTTAATTTTAAAAGCATATATGTCTTGCAGTTTTACTTTCACCTTCACACCAAGCATAATTCTGGAAAATGGGATTTGTTTGTTTAGTAATTCTGATTTGGGAAGGTAGTTAATCATCTAACTTATTTGATGAGAGTAGCTACTCAGTTGCTCAGAGAAGAGTCAGACCCTCTTGTTGCAAGACCTCTTTTTGAGTACTGTGTTTCATACTAGGAATAGCTGACACTTTCATGGAACTTGATAATGCTTGCTCATGAGGTGATGAGATTTGTTGCTTATAACCAGTAGCTGAAATTAATAGGAGTTTTTTAATGAAAACTTTTTACCCTCTTTGTTCTATGCAATTTTGTGTTCCTTTTCTGTGAAATTTTGAAGACTTATTTTTTCTGCCTGCAAATCATATTGTGTAATGCACTTTTGGTTTATAATTTTACTGGTTTTTGAAAGTCATGGATTCATGTTCAGATACCATGGCAGCATCTTTGGAAAATTTGACTTGGAACAGAGGGCACTTGTGGGGCAGGATGAGGAAAGACATGAAACAATTGTAAGGACATGCATAGAAATCAGGAAGCAGAACTTGTAATACAGCTCATCTAAGTCTATAGAAATGGAAAAAAAAATCTAATTTAAAACTTAAGATGTTCAGCTTAACTCTTTTCCACTTTTACGATGCACTCCCTCTTCCTTTTTGCCTTTTGGTATAACTTATGCTACTTGTCATAGAAGTCTTGTGCTACAGTAGAGAAAGGAGGCCTTTGCAAAGAGCTGTACACAGAACAAGTGGTAAATGCTTCATCTTCATGTCTTATAATTATAGTCGTGGAATGTCTGACATTTAACTCATCAGGTTAAGCACAGTTTTAACGGCTACATCATCCTCTCAATTTTGAGCTCATGTTTATGTTCATGTTTACCTGTAATTTTGTCTGGAACATTTGAACTATGATTCTAAATAGGATATTTCTTGTGGCTAAATGCTCCTTTTATAGATGTGAAAGGCTGTCTATCTTCCAGGGATTCTTGAATGTGAGATATAGGCTGTGGTCTGAAAAGCTTTTTGAGTTTTTCCCTTACACTTTCTTAAAATATTAATTTTCCTTTCTTGCTGTAAAAATAAAGGATTAGTAATAAATCTTTAAGTTCTCACTGTGTTCTACTTTTTCTTCTCTTTTTAGTTCAAAAAGCACCGTTCTTCAAATGCATATGCAAACAATTTTGCAAAGTCTGTGGTAAACCTTGTAGATGCTGTAAGTATCAATATTTCTTCTGAAAACTGCATCGCTGACTTTGTTAGTTTATCGCTATATTTAAAAAGTTAACATTAGCAGATACCAGGATAAAAAACATGAACAGTTATAAAAATTACATTTTGGAACTTATTTCCAGTTCCTCTGCAGAAGAATAGCCTGAGGTGAATGTTTAAAAAACCACCAAATTATCCTTGGCATTTTTCTCAAAGCTTACAACTGCCAGAGTTTGCCCTTGGCAGGGGGGATTTCAGACTTGAAGCAGCTTTCAGTATCTGTCACTGCTTAAGAATGAGATTTACTTGAGTTTAGATTTGTGAAACAAATCTAACCACAAGTGGTTGAAGCTGGGAGTATAGCTCACAAAGGATACACATATCTATTGGGAGAAAAAGAGAGTGTGAATGAAAATTGTCCATTATAAATCTGTATTTATGGCTTAAAACCAAACAAAATCCTGTCGTAGTACATTATAAATGGGTGGCACTGACACAGGTACCATACTTGTATCTGTGACTAAATTTAGAACAATTTCACATACAGCGTATAAACTAAAAGTAAGATTTGTGGTAACATTTCATTTTTTCTCTTTTTGATATACATGTAACAACCACACACATTTCAGAGCTGTGTAGTGAAAACAGGATAGATTCATGTGATGAATACAAAGGCTAGCAAAATTCTGACTCTTAAGTCCCCTTTCCATGTGACATTATTGATACCAATAGAACTGCATGATATGATTCAGTGCAAAACATTGTCAACAGTTTGTTTAGTTCAGAGGAAGCAATACAGTATTTGTTCTTAGTATCTTACATATAAATTATTATGTATTCTGTATGTATATTGAAAATTTAGGTGAATATACTTCTAGTACATGAAATACTGGGTGTTTTGGAATATTTTCATGTAATGGTCTGAAAATGCCAGTAGTCTGAAGAAAAGTTACTAGAGCAGATAAAAATATAAATAATCGAAATAATATTTCTGCAATTTATATTGGACATTCCCAAGGAAAGGGTGACATCTTAATTTTTTTTCTCAGCTGATTATTATTTCTTTGTATTTCTTCTGCATTTTAACAAAAGTTATTTAATCTGTCTCTCCTTTCTCTGACTATTCCTTCTGTTTTTCCATTTTTATTTGCTGCATGTGTTTATACAGAAGCATTCGGCTTCTCTCCAGTGTAGAATTCAGTCCCCTCATAGAGATCTTGCAAAATGACATCTTAATGGCCTTTTCTTTAAACAAAGCATGAAAAGAAGCAGACATTTCTGCCTTGTTATTCCCTTGTGTTCATAGGGAGTGGTCTGTGTTTCTTACTGATACATTATTGGGAAAAGAATATTTGCTTTCAGAGGCTTCCAGGTTCTCTGCCCCCTCTTCCATTCTTTCCTTCCTATTTGCTTCAGGAAATATAGTTTTCCTCTCAGCAAACACATGTAAAGTCTTTATTGATCCACCCATATGTAATTTCTGGGGTTTAATTCTATTGATTTTTCTCACGTCGTTAACCATTTTCTGTGTATGTCCTCAGCCTGTCTCTCTCAGATTGAGGCATATTAATATTCTTTTTTCCTTCAAAGTGCTTGAACAAAATTGAGCTTAGCTGGTTGCTCTCTCTTGCTCTTACATTTGTTGACTTTTTTCCTAAGCCGAGTATTATACATTGACTTTTTTATAAGGATAATGCTGCCTTGATACAAAAGACTGGCACACTAGTCAGTGCCAGTTTATTCAGTATAAATATCTATCATAACTGGAGGAGGATATTTGCAATTCATGTTGTGTATTGTAGGTATAATTTGGCAAAAAGATAATAAAAGCATATATTTAATATAGTGCCTCATGGAAGTGACCAAATAACTTGCTTTTTGTGTATTTTATGCACTGGGCAGCCAATGTATTAATTATCCAGTGCCTTTAGATCATGAATAAGTCCAATCAGTAAGTGTTCTTCATGCCCCATGTAAGACTTTTGATGGGCAGACTGTCTATTGCAGATAAGGAGTGCATCTTTTGTAGATCTGCAAGTTCTGAATAACCTTAGTTAATAAAATTTGGCATTTTATAACCTGAACTTAAAGAGAGCAGCAGTTTTATTTCAGAATCAAGTATCATGCACAAAATTAAAATGGATATTTTAAAGCTGTTTTGTAGTTACTAGGGCCGGCTTGTTGTTTCCTTGTCTATTGCTACAGTGACATTAAAATTAATAGAAAAATTAATATTCTTACTTAATTCTCACATTACTTGAGTAGCATTAAGTGATCATACTATAAATGAAAATCAAGCATTGTGTGAATTAAATTTTGGATGTATTGGAGAACTGAGAAATTATTTAATCTTGACTTAACAATTGGCTTTGGCTATTCTTTGTCTTTGAGATCTTTCTTTTCTTTTACTTTGAGATCACCCAGTGTACCTTTACATTTCTTCTTTGCTGATTTTTGTACAGGTTTTCTGCAAAACTCAGTGGTGAAATTATTTGGCATGTGAATTTTAAAGAAAAGGGAGTAGCTCAAAAAAAGAGCAGCAAAAGTTGTTTTGTTTTGGGTTTTTTTTGTCCTCTAAAATATAAAATTTAGATTGATCAGAATATTGACTTTTAGGAAATCCAAGGCATTACCAGCTAACTGTTTCCCCATGTTTCCCTTCTGCTTTATCCCTCTTGTCCTTCCGCTTTACTCTTACTGGCTAACTGTGCATGTTTGACCCAGTGTTCTACTCCTGTGCCTGTCCTGTCTCTGCCCTCAGATATACAAGGAACAGCTGAACACAAGGGTGGTTCTTGTGGCTGTGGAAACTTGGACAGAGAAAGACCGTATTAATATTCACCCTGACCCTCTGCAGATGCTTCATGATTTCTCCAAATATCGACAGCACTACATCAAACAGCATGCTGATGCTGTGCACCTGCTCTCGTATGTACCATTATACAATGGTTTAGACTATTACAGTTTAATATACTTTTCTGTCTACTGCTTTTGTCTACCTGTCTATTCTTGCTTACTTTTTTGCTTGGTAGTCACTACATCAATCAACTTCTGCCTTCCTTAGGAAACTTAATCTATTTTTTATCACGTTACTCTATTTTTAATAGGTGTAGTATATACCATGGTCATGTTGATATATATCTATAATGAAATTTTAATGTCTTTGCAACCTGGAGACAGTGTCACATATTTGAAGTGTCTTCTGATGAGCCCTTAAGGACACCTAGTTTTGCTAATCAGGTGTGCAACGTACTGCTTTCCCAGTAAAGAGCACGAGAGGGCAGAGCTGACAGTATTATGTGTTGCCACAAGAGCATTCCAGTTACTATATTTATTCACACATGTAGCTGCAGTGATGATTTGTTAATGGAAGGTTTCCTTCTTTAGAGCTGTAATGAGTTGTTTTCTGAGACACAATGCATTTTGAGGGGAAATTCCACTTGCATCATTAGGCACAACATCAACCTTGAGCAACAGTATTTTTTTTTACTTCACTGCATTGTAAGCAAAGAGGAGGAAGAGTGTGTTCCCCTTTGCAGCATAAAGATCTTAAGCCTTCTCCCAGCAGCGTGACATGCTACGAGGATGGAGTGACAAATGTCTTCCATGTGATTCTCCTATCATTCATCTTTTGCAGAGGAAGATAAAAATAGGGGATGAAGAATTTCCTCCAGCTTCTGTCATAGCTGTACTGCCTTAATACAGGCATCACAACACAATGCTAATTGCGTTTTTCATGACATTTGCAAAGTGCTGATGATGTGCACTCTTAATTACTTTTATGCATGTATTGTGTCACTTGCTGATGAGTTTGCCAGTGGGCAAACAGGCCCTTCTCAGTGTTGCACGGTGAAAGGTACCAAATACAAACTGAAATACAGGAAATTCCATTTAAACATAGGGAAAAAAACCCTTTCACTATGAAGGTGGTCAGATGCTGGAACAGGTTGCCCAGAGAGGCTGTGGAGTGCCCATGCTTGGAGATATTCAAAAGCCAATGGAACATGGCCCTGAGCAGCCTGCTCCAGCTGAGCCTCCTTGGAGCGAGGGGGTTGAACTAGACCATTTCCAGAAATGCCTGTCAATCTCAGCCCTTACTGTGGTTCTGTCTCTTGTAAAGCATCTAGCTTTAAGCATTTAGTATAGTGAATGTTCTGAAAAAATAAATATATACCTGTCTGGAGTATCCATATCTGACATTTCAAAAAACAAAAGGGATGTTGATTCTGCTATTGTAAAAGGAATTCATTTGCAAAGATCAGGGTAATTTGCTATGCATGCCCAAGGCTGTGTAGATTTATTATTATGTCTATGAAGTTAAAATAGGTATCATTCATAATCGTTTATAGACATTTTATAGAATAATTTATATCTTCCAGATTACATTAACTTAACTAAATTATTTGGGGCTTATTAGCAATAAATGAAAGGAGGCAGGGTTAAAGAGCAGTATTAAATTACTTTCCTTTTAGGTATACTTCTCAGTCTTTACATTTGGAGTTGAAACTATAACTTGAATTGGTTTGGATTAAGAGCAGAATTAAAAAAATTCTCAACACTGATACATTTCAGTGCAGAATTCCTTCCTGACAGATTATAAATTGGAATATATTGTTATCTTTTTAAAGGAAATGTTATCCTTGTATTTTCTTAGGAATCTGGTAGTCTAGCTTTCTCTGCTTGGTTTGTTTGTGGGTTGGGACTGATTCTGTCTCTACAAGATAAAAACAGTTTGTCAAAAATTGTATCTTATCGACTCTTTTGATGTCGGTGTTCTGTTTGTAAACTTGCAGTTGCTTTTGATGCTAGATGAGGATTAATGTGCTTGCAATGTATCCTAGTATGTGTGAAAGTGTGATCTTTCAATAAGTTCTTGGTGCCTGATGTCAATGTGTTATATTTTCTTTATTTTTGTTTGTAAGGAATGTGACATTTCATTACAAAAGGAGCAGCTTAAGTTACTTTGGAGGGGTTTGCTCTGTGACCAGAGGAGTGGGAGTGAATGAGGTAATTTCTTTTTCGCGACTAAAGTGAAATAAAATAGAAACTGTACATTATAACCTCAGAGTTTATATGTTGCAGTATTCAGGGCTTTAAAGATAACGTACATATTAAAAAGTTAGGATTCCCACAGCCAGCCTTCTTGTATCATCATTAAACTACTGCTCACTGTGCTTTTCTTTTTAAAAAGCATTCCTCCTGTCTGCATTATTCTCTTAATAAGATCTCAAATTGACTTTTAGTATATTTGACAGAAATTTAGACTCAAAAATCTTTGACAATAGTATTTGAAATATAGCACTGAACATTCTTTTGGGTTTTCTTACTATAAGGCTTGATCTTCTGAGGTGCTGATGACATGTAATTCTTACTGATTTTTTTTAACATTAAAACTAGAAAAATTTGGTCCCTGTGTATTGATTTTTTTTTAATTATTTTTTTTTCCCTCAGTGCAGTGTTAAATCGATAATGAAAATCTCCTGTTTTAACATGGGCTAATCATACTATACAAACCTATTACATATATATCAAACAGACTCCTTTCTGTACGTTAACCAGCAGACAGGGATTACCTCAGGTTAAAAGAAGAAAATTTTTTCTGTTACGTACTTCATTGTCTTTATTTTCCTTATATGCACACAGAAATGTGATTGGCTGTACAGAATTACTGAAGCAGTAAGTATGTGGTAAGCCAGAATGAGCCAGTGTAGTGTTCATTACAATAACGTACATTTTCTTTCTTTTTTTTTCCTTTTTTTTTTTTTTTTTTTTTTTTTATTTCCCCTTTTTTTTTTTTTTTTTTTTTTTTTTTTTTTTTTTTTTTAATTGCACTCCTCTTGAAATGCAGTATGGCCTCCCTTTGGCCATGGCACAGGAACTAGCACAAAGTCTTGCCCAGAACCTTGGAATACAATGGGAGCCAGCTGCCAGGAAACCGAGTATGTACATGGACTTGGAGTTTTCTTTTGTCCTCCTTAGCTAAATATATAAACACTTCCTTTGTAATATTTGAAACAAATACCAAACTTGCTGTAACTGTAGAACAAGAATTGCTGCTTTTGGAAATATATGCACCAAAATTTGAGTTTAACCAAAGTAAGAGCCACGAGTTTAGCACTCATTTTGCAATGACCTCAGTGATGTCCTGTGTCAAGAGGTTAGAGTCATAACCAACATTCAAAGGTTTAATGGTAAAAACACCATTCATTTAACTCATAACTCCTTATCTATAATAATGAAATCTGTAATTCCTATAGAACTATCACTGACTTCTTAAAATACAAAAATATCTGATTCATAATTGAAGAAATGGTAAGAAGCTGTAATCTAGTCCAGGGTGACATTTGCTCAACTTGTTACCTTGCTGCTTCACAACCAGAAGATTAGCCTGATGTGGCCTTAACGCATGTAGAGCGTAGGTACAAAAGCTGCTGCAAAAGCCCTTTTTGGGGCTAAAGAAAATTGTTGGTTTTTTCCACTCACATCGTGTAAGCAATTTGGCTACTTTCTCTCTTTGTTTCTTCTTTAAAAATGTGAATGATAATGCTGACTTTATTTTGGAATCACTTCAGAAATCTGCAAATTAGGAAACAACGTGGAAAAGTTTAGGGAATGTTGTTTTATAAAGCATCGCTTTTGAGTTGTGTAAACATGCAAATTGCTAAAATACTTTCTATGTCATTGTTTTTTGATTACAGGTAAAACAGAGTTCATATAATTTGGAAATCAGAATCTTTTTAAACTGTAAGATAGAGGTTTTTAAAATGATAGCTTAGTGTCCTTATTTGGATACCCTTTATAGAGAAAGATTAATGAAAGACCTGGATAGAGCAGAAATAACCATATAAATAATCTGTGAATATTTTCTGTGGAGAAAGAGTATGGATTTGCAGTAGTAACTAGAATGCAGAACCTTTCTTCTTGAAAATGTTACTTCTTTGTAGATAATTTTTATGGGTAGTTTGTAACTTCTGTTTTACCAACCACAAGATGTTGATCTTTTGTTTTTATTTTATGAATTTAGTCACTCTTGACTTACATGCTATGGCTGTAAGTAAACTGTAAATCCATTTTCACTCAACTACTTTTTCTAATGAATGTTTGATTGGCTGATTCATGTATTACTATTAATAATTCTATGCGAAAGGGAAAAAAAGTGGCCTGTCCAGTAACAATTCTCCTTCAGGGTGTTCTGTACACATTTTAGGATGGAGGAAATGTGATGTTTGTAATCATCAGTATCATGTATACTGCACATACCCTTGTGCTACCTGTTTTGAGAGCATGTAGGGAAGAATGTTGCCAGCTATTTTTAGTTTTCTATACTTCCTGAAACTTTGTGTTGAGTCTAAGAACATGCACATATGGTAATTTGAAAGTACTGCATTTATATTAAGTATATTAGTATCTCTTCAAGTGGGCTGGTTTCCTTTTTAGGGCTAGAATCTGTACAGCCAAGCAACCATCTAATCTTTGTATCATTAGTCAAGGTCCATTTTTATAGTGAGTACTTTATATTTATTGCAAGCGTATTTATAACTGCTTTCCTTTTCTGTTGTATTTTGGTCTTGTCTGAGAAGAGTGTGACTGCACTGAATCCTGGGGTGGTTGCATCATGGAGGAAACGGGGTATGTCATAACTATCAGTAATTGAGGGCTCTGGAATGACTTCATAGTTTACATTATGACATAAATATTTATGTATTGGGTTTTGTCTGTGTCTTTTAATACTAATAAATGAAAAACTAGAAGCAGTTGGAATAACCCAAGCATACAGATCAATGATTTCAATTTTTAGCAATTCATTCCCTTTGCTATTCACATTTTAGGAAGCTGTTCATAAATCTTACATTTTGAAGTGCAACGCAGTGTATTCACTAATGCTTTGCTATACTTACAATGATTGAAAAGTAAAGTATGTATACTTTTTCCATTAAATAAATCAGTTATACTTTTTACATGCACCTGAAAAAGTGTTATAATACAGTTTTGATAAGTGATATTTCTGTTTTCCTCCTAAATTTTCATTATTTTTTTCCCCAATTCCTTCAAAATTCTAATTTTGAGTGAACAGATCTCTCTGCTTCTGTTCCAGTGAATAAAAGTAGAAACCTGAAGCTTTCAGCAAGTGCTGTCAATCCTTAGCTAAACGGTCAGTCGAGTCTGGGGAGGAAGCACATCTATATGGGAGGAAACCAGATTTCATTGCCCTCTACTGTCACACACAGCCAGAGATTCTTTTCTCTGTACTGTAAGCAATTGATTAGAAAAGGATAGCTTCTGAAACACAGGTTTTTGAGTCTTATAAATCACTTTGTGTCAGAATTCTTGTTCACTGTGGAAGCTTTGTTGCAAAAATCATGGAGAAAATTAGTTATAAATAAGACAGAAAGAGCTTAGTTTCTTCATATGGTGTTTGGAAATTGGTTCTTCAGTAGAATTACTGTGTGGCTTTCCTGTAGACTTGTAATTGTCAGCCACCATATGAATGCAACAGAAAATTATTCAGTAAGTTTGCTTCTGGAATTTGAAGTAAGGCATTGATCAGAATAGAATCTAGCTTCCTTCCTATGGTGAATTCATCAAAGTATCAGTTTCGGATGGAAATATCAGTAGAAGAGGTTGTGGAACAAACCTCTTGTGTAGATAAGGTAACAGTAAAAAAAAAAGTCAGGAGCAGATGATAGTCACCCAGAAGCTGAAAAAGGACTGACTAATGATATGAGTGAATAATTAGCTGCAGTGTAAAGCCTTTTCACTTAACTCCATCAGTGCCAGAAGACATTTTTTTATATATAGAATAATTCAATGGGGAAATGTCAGCTCACTGCTAGGAAAGGAATGGAGAACCTCCTTATGGCATGGTTACCCCCATCTTTAATAGCGTGAATAGTTCTCATTCCCAGATCTCAAAACATGGCTAAGAAAAATATCAGAGAGTTTCTGTGTGAGAAATAACTAACAAAGTATGTTTTCATCAGGCTGGGAAAAAGATGAAGATGAGGGAATATGAGAGAAGTCTGTAACGTCATAAATAACATAGCAAATGATTACCATTTCTTCCAGTGTAAGAACTAGGGAGACATGAAGTGAGACTAGCAAATATGTGACAGAAGAAAGAGGATTAATTTGTTTTTCTACCAGTCTGTAATTAAGCTGTGAAACTTCTTGCTATAGCATCTTGTAGATGCTAAAAGATTTTGGGCAAATTCATGGGAGAAAAGACAATGAAGATGATTAAATAAGACTAAATAAGACAAAATAAGGCTTACCGAGAAAGTAATTGAGCTGAAAATTATTGGAAGCTGGAAAAATATTCTGCAAGTAGTAGTACAGTGCTCTGTTCTCTACTCTTCCCTGGGCATATTCTCAGGGTCAAAATCAGAGACGGGATTTGGGTAAAGTGAATTTTCAGTCTGACCCTATACAGCTGTTCTTATGGCTACAATTAATTTTACTTTAAAAATTAACCTTATTAACAGGACCAAATTAATTGAACAGTTTTAAAACCCTGGCATGAAATCAGGGATCTGGAATGTAATCCATCTTTTAAGCTGAAGCTGCAGGGAAAACAAACCCAAGAGAACACTGGATTATGCATGCAATTGAGAGGGTGCATGGCAGCTATTACGATAATGTGGTTTCACCTTATTAAGAAGATTAGAAGACTGCAGTTTCATATACTGTAGATCCATACAATAGAAATATAAAAATGCAAAATGTTTAAAAAATTTGTTTTGTTCTGATTGTATTGTTTGAGAATAAGACTAAGCTGACATACTGTTGCACACAGTGGTTGTAAGAAACTGGGATTTACAGTATTAAAAAAAAAGTTGTGACCCCTCTGCCCCCTTCCAGTAACTGTTGGTGTTTCAAGGCATTTACTCAGCTAATTCTTTGCCATTTTAGGGTATACCATTCCAGGAAATTCTCCAAATGCAGCATTGCAGAATACAAAGAATTTTTACTTCGTGGGGGAGGTGCCTGTCTTTTCAACAGGCCAACAAAGGTAATTAATATGTTGGTAGCCAGCACCTCTGCTAAACATTGTAATGAAAATGTAATAATTTCACTAACACCCATCTGTTCTCAAATTTATTCAAATGTCTATGTGGGTATTTTCTTGAAATTGCTTGTAATTTGCTGACTGTTCATTCCCATATTTAAAAATAATCTTAAAAGGAATGCAACTTGTTTTCCACAATTCTTCATGCTCAAATAATGACAAATATTGCAGTTTATTTCTCACAGCTAGATACATCCCTATTCAGCATAAATGCACTACTTATTAAGCTGGAAGTAGTGCAAAATAAATCCAGAAGTGAGGTCATAGTGCATGTTCTACATACGCTCAATTCTTGGACTTTTTGCCTGACGTTGTTAAAAAGAATGCCAGTTACCGGACTAGGAATTAGAAATCAATAGCTTACTTTGTATAGACGGTAGCAGCTTGTGGTTGTTCTTAAAGTTAACTTAAGTTCAGTTTCATTCAGATGTACATCTAGCAAACTCTCTAATTTATAACTGTTTCCTTGTACCATCCGTTGCTTTTTTCGCCTAAAAACTTATCAAGGTTATAATTTTTTCTAAGGTAATATTAGTATGACATCCTTCTAAAGCTGAGTAGTATAAAAATATTCCATGTGGCTCTTTTTGCAAAGTAAGATCAATCCAAAGTACTAATATTCTATTTAATCATGGCGTCAAACTTGCTGTCCCTGTAGAATTTAATACCACATGAGACTATAAGGCTGTTCTGTTTGCTGTGCTGTACCCTTTGGTAGACCACCACCTTGCACAATTAACTAAAAAAATTTTGCTTGTTAGAGTGTTTTTTAAACTGTTCCCAAGGTGACAATCTTTGCTTATAGAATAAGAATGTAAGAAGTCTTACAGAAAAGAGTAAATAGGGGGCAAGAAAAACACAGCTTCATTTTTTGAAGATGGTTGTCTAGCAAGGTAATGTGAACAAATTGTCTGTATACAGAATAAAATCCCGGTTTACTTCTGTGAAAATGCTCCCAGGAGAATGGTCGAATTATCTTTATGTGTTATTTATGTCAGTGTTTCACAGCTTTGAAGTTAAAGTACTTTGGGGGCGGGGGGGAATTATGCAATGTTTAGAATCCTATTATTTTGAGGTTGGGAGGTAAGCTAGAAAATGGTGTGTTTAATCCTTAGGTAAATAAACCATAGTTGTGTTAAGCAGTCACCATGATGTCATTTTTTATTATAAACTTTTAGTTATGCTCTGACATGTATATGAACATTTGATGGTTCCTGATTAATGCTGTAGGAAATTTGTGTGTGTTCTGTTATTTTCTTGCATTTCTCTGGTTGACCCCTTTTTGTTTTCTTATGGGCTACAGGTCCGATAGCCAAGTCTGTCTGACAGAGAACTGAATTTCAGGTTCAGAATAAGAAGCCTTGCTGTTTCTACTGAAGCATAGTAGTAACAGTGGCTTATAGAGAAAAAAAAAAAAAGAAATTTCAGTTTTCTGAATTGTGTCAACATTGCTAGTGAAGACGAGTACATATGGGTATTGCTTCAGTGTAGTTTTGCTTCTGGCACCCAAAATTGTAGGTGCTATTGATTGCCTATGTGGTTTACGCAACAAAAGTAAAATGTTTTCTTTCTTTTTGATTAGGCATTATGATTTCTTTCCCCCCCTGCCCTCCCGAGATACTAAAGAGGAATTGCATCGAAGTTTATAAATAATTTGTATTTTATTATATGTTATGTTTCATATCTTGATGATCCTCAACAGCTGTACTGCCACTAAACCCATGCAGAAAGAACATGTTTACTCGCATCTTTCACCCTTATCTAGCTGTAGATTTATCTGGTCTCATTTTAACTTGTTAACTTTTGACTTCTCATTTCAATCATATTCTAGTGATGAATGTGTTTCTATTGCTAATATCCCAGTTAAATTGGAGATTTGTGATATTCTTATAGGATTTTAAAGCAGAATTATTATATTGAAAACAGATAAGGTTTTTGCAAAATTATTTGTGTGACAAGACTGAAAAATATCTTAAATCAGCTTTAATCAAAATTATGATATGTGAAACCAGTATAGAATCTATATCATCCTGAACTGTAGAATTTATCTGTATTGTATCTATCCGGTCCTAGGATTAACTGTTTAGTACTATCTCTATGTGGTTGTGTTATCCTAACTTACTAATCAGGCACATAGAACTTCCTTTTGGCAGTGTTTCTTAATGTTTATTATTTTCACGCACAAACATGTTACACTGGAATAGACAGTAGCTAATTGCATGAGCAAGTATGGGTACCTCAATAGATCCCAGAGATCATATTGCTGATGGGTTTCTTGAAGGAATTGTCAGGGAAATGGGAGTCCTTAGAATAGGAATGAAGTTCAAATGTTATGCCCTTGAGTATTATTTTATTGTCTCTCTGTTTATCATAATTTTCTGAGATCAGTATTCTCCTAAAGAGGGCTAACATTCAAGTGATTTAGTTGTACATCTTTCCTGTCTGAACAATTCTGACTAGCAGCAATTGAAAAACATGCTCCCTTCCCCATTGCAGTAGCACAGCATATATATTCTCTCTCAGAGCATGTTTCTGTAGTATGACAGGAAAGTCATTTGATATTAGTTTTATTCTTACTTTTGGGGGGGTCCTTTTTTGCTTTCAGCTCTTTGAAAACACTGAGTGTGGAAACGGATATGTAGAAGCAGGAGAAGAATGTGATTGCGGTTTCCGAATGGCAAGTAGAGTTATATATTACTCCACAAGTCTTTCTTACAAAATATATTAAGATAAATTATGTGATTGTTAACGGAGGGGGAAAGTTTATGGAAACTAATTTGCTTTGCCTGTTGTTGGGGAACAACTTCATTAAAGGACTGTGTTAAAACATTTTGTCAAGTGAGAATGAGTGTGAAGACAGAGTGCGTCCTCAGAACAGTTCCAGTTATGCTAATGACAAGGTGTAGCTGTTTCCCAGCAGTTTTTGAATTGCACTGTAGAAGCGCTTACCCCTTTACTTTTCCTGGATAGCGTGCCTGGAGTGGTAGACTCCTTATCTATGCTTTGGAGATAGGTGCCTGTGTTGGGACAGAATAAGTAAACTGTCGTTTTCTTCTCTATTAGAAGAAATATTTCAGTAGAAATATTCCAATAATGTTTTTGCAAAAATCTGCCCTGTAGATTTGAGTCCTAATTCTAGTATTTAGATATAATTGCATTCATGATTAGTTTTCTTAATCTTTTTTCTGCATTGAATGCAGTTTGACTAAGCAGCATGCATTTGGCACAGGCTATTCCACAGCTGTGAAGAGGCTTCAGAAGGTGGGAACCCCCTTGTTGCTATAGGATACATGTCACTGTTTTCCCTTTGCTTTAGTGTTTGAGCATTGGAAGGGATTCTTCCAGCTGATAATTGCAAGTCATCAGTGCTGAACTGAATCTTCTGTCTGCTGGTACATTATAGTTTATGGGAAAGATTATGAAGAAAAAACTTATTTAAAATGGAAAACTAAAAATTTTGCTTAATATTTTCTTCAGGAATGCTATGCAGACTGTTGTAAGAAGTGCTCTCTTTCTAATGGAGCTCATTGTAGTGATGGACCCTGCTGTAATACATCATGTCTTGTGAGTGTTGCTGCAGTGTATCTATTGTTCTTTTCAGTTGTCCATGGAAGTCATGTGCAGCCTGTTATAGTTCAAAGTGTGTTTTATGTAGAATGAAAAGGAACAGCTTATGGAGGCATAATCTTAGTCCTGAACTGTATGCTTCATTTTCTAGTTTGTCCCACGAGGCTATGACTGTCGATATGCAGTGAATGAATGTGATATTGCAGAGTTCTGCACTGGAGATTCTGGCCAGGTATGTATGCAGAAGCTTTCTCTGCTTACACTATTGATACTTGTTTGCACTCATTTTTATATCAATTTAAGAGGAAAATCCAGATTAAAAAACTGCACACTTATACACCCAAAGTAACTGGGGACGGGGGGTATTTTTTAATCCTAACAAAATTTTTAAACATAAGAATAAACTACCATAAGCTCAAAAAAAATTAATCTAAGTGGACTCAAAATATGACTTCTGTAGGTTTATTTGTTTTTTAAAATTCATGGGGTTTCATGTATCTGTGTGGTATTGGTGTCAGATACCCTCCTTTGCTCTTTGCCTGGTCTATAGCTTAAGTACTAAGAATATACTGCAAATGTGAATGGATTCAAAGGTAATAACAGTAAGATTTTTATGAAATAAAATAGTTTACAGTATAAATGTAGAAAATTACAACTAATTGAGTATAGAATCATAGAATCATTGAGGTTGGAAAAGACCCTTAAGATCATCAAGTTCAACCATTAATGTAACACTACCAAGTCTACCACTAAGCACCACGTCTACAGGTCTTTTAAATACCTCCAGCGATGGGGACTCAACCACTTCCCTGGGCAGCCTGTTCCAATGCTTGACAACCCTTTTGGTGAAGAAATTTTTCCTAATATCCAATCTAAACCTTCTCTGGCACAACTTGAGGCCATTTGCTCTCGTCCTATCGCTTGCTACTTGGGAGAAGAGACCAACCCCGACCTCGCTACAACCTCCTTTCAGGTAGTTGTAGAGAGTGATAAGGTCTCCCCATAGCCTTCTTTTTGCCAGGCTAAACAACCCGAGTTCCCTCAGCCGCTCCTCATAAGAATTGTATAAAGCGTTACTTTTTTTTGAGTGTGCGCTCATGTATGGTAATCTTAAAAGTTGTGGATCGTATGCATTTATCTTGAAAACATTTGGCTAATACACAAAACTATAGGAATAAACAGCAACCAAAAGGTTGGTTTAACTTGAGTTCTTTTAAGTAGTCAACTTTCTGTACAGCTTCCATTTTCACAGCAACATTGATGCTTTAGGTGATGCATGCTCCTTTTCAATACTGAGTATTTAGCTTCAAGGTTATATAAGAGCTTCATAACTTTGCTGCAGTCATCTACTGCATCAGGTTCTTAGCTTTGAAGAAGTAAGATTCAGGATAGATTCACGTCTCTCTCTGGGCATTGGCTGTAATTATAGATGCCAATAAATTAACAGTAACCTCTTTTTATATTATCATCTGAGACATCCACACTTACAGATAAGTAGCTGTTGCTGAGATTTTATGTTAAATCTTTAATTCTGCAGATGGAGCATTCTTAATGGGAGCAAGAAGGGCTTGCTTATGCTAGAAAGGCTGCCTTCAAAGTATTGGTTAATATGGTACATTGCAGCAGCATACCCTTTCCAAATCTTCCCAGGTCCCTTTCTGATGAGGAAAAGCTTTGAGAATGGTCTGCTCCTAGCTTTAGTAATGTGAGGCTTCTGGACCTAATGACTTGTTCATACCAAAAAAGTTCCCAATGCCAAGAGAACATGACAGTTAACATCATTAAAATCCACAGCTCTTTAAGCAATAGACTAGTAGGCTACAGCTAGGTGCTCACTTACTTTCTTAGTGGAACTGAAATGAGTGCAGTGGCAGTGTTGCAAACATGGCCCCAGTATTAGCTACCAAATATCCTGTTACTGAACACATTTGTTTTAATTTTGCCTCACCTCCTTAATTTCTACTTGGAATATGCAGAAAGTTAGAATCAAACCTTGTATTCATGGTTCAAGATGTTCATTTTTTTCATTTGTATTTGTAGCTATAAGGATTCCTGCACTATGTATGTTATCTACCCCCCCCCCCCTCCCCCCCCCCCCCCCCCCTTTATATGTTGTGCAATTGTCTTTTAAAACCGGGAAAATTCTGTATTTGATCCTTTGACGTATTGTTACAGTACACACGATAAAAAAACATTCTTTTTTTTTTTTCAGTGTCCACCAAATCTTCATAAACAAGATGGCTATGCCTGTGATTCTAATCAGGTATGCAATGTTTTAAAATCCCTGACATCAGCAAATAGAAGTCAACCAAATACAAGTTTTTGGTTTTTTTTTTTGTTTTTTTTTTTAATCCTGTCTTCCATATTTCTTCATAAATTTTGTCTTTTGGACATCAATGTTGCTTGTGCTTTATGCACTCTATGAATAGTAAAAATTTCTACTTTGAGTAAAATCTGCTTGGTATCTTTACGTATTACATGTATATCTTTTATCGCACTCTATGTTAATAAGTTCTTTACAACTATGTAAATGAGAAGTATAAAGCAACTGTTGAAATGTCAGTACATATTAGACTCTAACTGACTTTGAGAACCTGGGCCAAAATGTGTACTCCATCTACCCAAATTCATGAATATATCCCAATATGTGGGTGAAGAATCAAAATGAGACATCTGTTGGGGGAGGGGAAGGAAATGAAATAGTGTTCAGTTCTCATTGCTAACATGTTGTGTTTTGTTTAGGGTCGTTGCTATAATGGTGAATGCAAGACAAGAGATAATCAGTGCAAATATATCTGGGGATCTAGTAGGTGGACTTTACCTTAAATGTATTTTATTTCTGGTTAATTCCTGCCTTTGTTTTGTATTTTTAGTATTTTTATTTTTTGGTCTTGCCACTATAAGTTAGTTTTCTGCTCAGTAGAGTAGACTGCAGTGAGAAACTGTGGCTTGATTGCCAAATGAAATTTCGAGTTTGGGAGTGATGCCAGTGACATTGTTCTGACATGATGTGGTTGCAGACATAGGTAGGGCAGCAAATGCTGGACTCTGGTGGAATTAGGTGAGAAAACATACAAAATATTGGCAACTTTGAGTTGCTGTTACCAGGGAAAGGAAAAAAAAAAGGGTTTGAGGATTTTTTTTGGTTTTGTTTTTTATAGTTGAAACCAGATGTTTTGGGGTTTTTTTAATGACAGTTGTCAATTCCATTATCCCAGCAGTGGTTCATGCTAAAGCTGTTCCACCTTACCTCTCTTTGCTATACTATCCTACAAGTCAGGAAAATTAGTACATTCGTGTGAATTTAAGTATACATAGTACGAATTCAAGCCCAGAAGTGTTGTGTAAAATAGAATTGCTGTTGCAATGGATTTTGCTTGCAGCTGAGAGGGGATGAATGTTCCATGTAATGACTTTGAGACAGTTCAGCAGAGCAGAACTATCAGGATGTCCTGTACTCTAGCACATAATGTTTTCTCGTGCATTTTGTCTAATCATAACTGCCACTGCTGACACTGCCCGTTTGAGGCAGAAGAATCATTCCATTCTAGGGAAGATGGGAGAGGAGGGATATAATTTTATCATTTATTGTTTGTCTTGTACAATACAAGAGATGCTATATAAGTGTAAAATTGGATGGAGATAGCATTTTCTTTGTCTTCTGATGCCTTTTTGAGTTTTATGTTGCCACCTCACATTTATTGATAATATTAAAGTCAGTAGATGTTTTTGTTAACTAATTTCTTTGTATCTTACACACTTATATTTTAAAATACTTGGTTCGTCTTCTGTACAAGTGTTTTTTTCTGAAATTACTCTTATTTACCTCTAATATTTTATCTTCCTCTGTATAATTGTTGTACTTTTCTTTTTTAATTTTTAATTGATTTTTAGAAAAAACAAATGGGCTTGTTAGTAAATAATTGTGGTTTTAAACCTATTAGTTCAGATTTCTACTCCTAAAAAGCAGTAGAAATTACACTCTGACTGTTCAACCCTGTTTTCTCTGTGACCTAAAACATAAAATAAACATTGAGCTGATGTCAGAACATATACTTATGGTATATGCCATGTATAAAATCTTTGATCTCCTGAAATACAGATCAGGAATAATTGCAGTGCAAACAACTAGATTAAATCTATGTGCAACTGTTATGAAGTGAACAAAATTAGACCACAGATAAAGTCAAATGGAGACGACAATAAAGGCACTGTGGAGATACTTTTTTTAAAAAGTTCAGAGCAAATTTTGAACATGCAGCATTATTTTAGAAAAGTCATCTGTAGGTATTGCAGTTTGTTTGCTAGATTCCTACTGTAGTCACTGGAAAACACCATCTGTGTACACAGACGTGTGGTTAGATTTCTGTTTTGCATTAAAAAATACAGAGAACTGCTACAATAAACTATGCAGGTTTTCAAAGCTCTCAGGTTGCTACTGGAAAGTACATCCCTTTTTCCTTTCTTCATTAACAGAGTCTTCAGGATCTGACAAATTTTGTTATGAAAAGCTTAATACAGAAGGCACAAAAAAAGGTAACTGTGGAAAGGATGGAGACCGATGGATTCAGTGTAGCAAGCAGTAAGTTCAGCTTGGTAGAGATTATCTGTATTTTAAATAGATTAATACTGGTTTAATGTTGTCTACTTTTTCATGAATGTTTCGGCAATTTGTTTTGCATTATTTTCAATCTTCTTTCCCTCAGAAGGTTTGCATCTTGGAAAAAGTTCCAAAGCTCATTCTGACAAATCCATGGGTGACTCAGCAATACACTTGTAAAGAATTCCACATTTTCAGAAGAATGTACTGTGACTTTGAGGAGCTGGGGTACAGGGCAGCAAAAAGTCACAAGTTCATAATATACAAACACCTCAGACTTGGTAGGGAAAAATCAGGCTGCAAATACACACGCTATTTTCACTTGCCCTGGGATTGATACCAGATTGTGCTATTTCAAGTTTGTTCCAACCTTTATTTTGACCAGAGAGGACCATTAGACATTTGGATGCTACAGAGAAAATGGCTGATTCATTTGCATGTGATCATTACTAGACAAATATATGATTAAATTTACTTTTCCAGTTAATGATCATTAGTGGATAGACTTAAATTTCTCCTGATTTACTTACTGTTTTGTAATTTTTCAGTATGTATGTAAAAATTTCAGTCTCAGAATGGTGTTTTCCTTCTTTGACTACCTGATGTTTGTCAAGTGGCATTTTTTTTATAATTACATGATTCACTTTTCAGGTAGGATCATAAGCAAAGTAGTTGTTTATGGATTTTTTTATATTTAGATGAGAATAGTGTTGTTCTGATATGTATATTAAAACCTCATTTGTATAAAAGCTTTTCTTGGTCAGTAGAGAGATGTAGAAAAATGGTCTAGCTGAATTTTTTGCAATTTCAACAAATACCATTTCCAGCATTCATCCAGCTGCTTTTATGACTTAGGACAATTAGAGTAAGAGATGGAAGTTTTAAGCTGATATCCTTCTGTTGAAGATTGCACATGTAACATCAAACAAAGTAGATTCTGTACCAAAATTCAGGTGCACACACTGCATGCTAACGATTGTTATTATGGTTCTGTTGTCCTGCAAGAGAAATAAAATACAATTAAAAATTCAAACTTCATATTAACGTACAGCATCCAAGCTGCTAGAGAGAGGGAAATGTAATTTAGCCTGATACGACAAAGCTTTGTACAATTTGGCTCCTCTTAATTGTACTGTATTGTACTTAGAGCACAGACAAATTTTTTGTTGATGTGAACATTCACTGGTGCATTAGAATGAGCAATTACTTGTTTCTGCCTCTTGTCATTTATATCAAATAATATTTTATTTCCAGACTTGTACTCTGGAAGTCTATCGTGTGGCTTATGGTAATATATTACTTAATGTGATCAGCAGCAACATTGTCAGTCTTTTTTGTAAGTTTCCTTCATATTATTCCAGTAACTTTTTGATTTATGTTTTCATTTTACAGTGATGTTTTCTGTGGCTTTTTGCTCTGCACTAACCTTACTAGAGTTCCACGAGTTGGTCAAGTTCAGGGAGAAATTATCCCAAATTCTTTTTATCATCAAGGACGAATAGTGGACTGCAGGTAAAAGATAATGCAGTGTTCCAACATTATTTTGCTTTATCAAACCGAATTGAATTAAGATAAACAAATGTAAAATTGTATGATTTTTAGGTAATTAACATCTTGCAGCAAAATTGGTGGAGTGGTATTTCTTTTGATTTAAAAAAAAAAAAAAAAAAAAGGCTAATACTCCACATTTAAAGAGGGTAAAATGTGGGTTATCCTCCTGATTACTCTATCTGGTCTCTCCAGTAGCAGAACTTCACAGTCCGAGTTTAATGCACAGCGCTATATTTTTTTTTGGTGGTGGTGGGGGGAAGTCTGTAATTGCCAAAGACCCGTGTATTAAACATAATGTTTTTGAGTGTTATATCCTCAGAGAAATAGCTGTAGGGAAGTGAAGGCAGAGAGGAAACTGAAGAGTTGTGGCAGGATAAGATGTTAAGCTACAGTTCAGTTAAAGGGCAGGTAAATGGGTTTTAGTCTACCGTGCACAATACTGGATTTGTATTTTAAAGATGTTGGGAACACAGCTGTCATGCTAAGAATGTTCTCTTACATAGTTAGGTCCTGAGTGAACAATGATTCTTAACTCTTCTATTATTCCACTAGTATTTTTATTTAAATGTCATCATGTGGGAAGTTAGTTTTTTAACATTTTTCTAGCAATAATATTTCACAGCCTTTGGAACAAAAAAAAAGAAAAAAAAAAAAAAGCATGGCCCATCAAAGACTGTTAAAAAACCCCAAAGCCTAAGGTGCTCTTTTTGAGTATTGAAGTCATTATGTAGACTTCTGTTTAGTCTGACAACTGGAACACCTTGTCAATGCTGTGGACAGACAGAAAAACTTTATAATTTTGTTCAATGTGTCTGTACGCTTGAATGAGAGAAAGATATGAGGCTTTCAGTATCTACACTAACATGTTTAATATTTTCAAAAGAATCCAGTCATGATACTAATAGTGTCTTAAAACTTATTTCTCCTAGTGGTGCTCATGTTCTTTTAGATGATGATACAGATTTAGGTTATGTGGAGGATGGAGCTCCATGTGGACCTCACATGATGTGTCTGGACAAAAAGTGCCTGCCAATTCAGTCCTTGAACATAAGCAGCTGTCCCATTGGTTCTAATGGAAAAGTCTGTTCCGGTCATGGGGTGAGTCTGTACTGGGAGTCAGCAGCTAAGCTTCTCCAGCTACCTCTGGGATATCTGCTCTTAATGTACCCTGTGGAGTTCTCTACCTGAAAGCGTTCCTAAGACCCGTTGATCTGAAAACACAAATGTTAGATTCAGGGGAAGACTGCCATTCTGTGAAGCATAGACAAAATTTTAGAAGCAAAGTTGTCAAACTAATTCTGCAATTATATCTGAAGTGTTGTTTTCATTACTAGCAAGAATGAGCTTTGACATAAGTTATTGTAAAGACTTCTGTAATGTCCTACCCATATTTCAAGCTACTTGCCATCATCAGTTAAACTTTTTCCTGCATACTAACACCTTTATAAAGTTGGTCCTGTGTTCATGGATTTATACCTCATGACTTAATTAAAATTCTAAACTTTGGACCTCAACAGAGATGATACATTCTTCTTGAACAGATGCAAAGTGTATCATTTTACATTCAGGCACATTATATTCTGTTATTCTACCCCTAAGTCCACTTGTCTAAGACATTAGGTATGTTTTGATGAACAGATTCACTGTTCCATGCTGTTGCGGAGGTGCACAAAGTCAAATTAGGCAGGTGATGTAACCCAAAATAATATTTATTCTAATCAGAAGTGTTTGGTACTCTGACGAACATTAGTAAACCACAGGTTCAGGATGCCAACGGGAATTAATACTACACAGCTGACTTAAGAATTCTTAAGCTTCAGAATGATGACTAAAAATACACAATCACTCACCTAATAAGGCGAGGGCTCTCAACCTCAAGGAGTTACCTTGGCGGCATCCCGACCCAAGGGGAGAGTCCCCAGCTGCAGACCTGCTGCTCCAAGGAGGACCTATTCAGTTTGCCCTCCGGAGGGACTCCGTTTATACCCTAGTCGAATCTGACCTGTGGTCGTATATGGTCATGTCCGTTCCTGTTGGCCACGGGCTCTATCTACCGGTGACTGTGTATGTGACAACAGCCACAGTAGGGCAGTAAGGGCATGAAAATTAAAGGCGCGCGGTGCTTGCTATGTTTTAACGGTCGGAAAGCCCCAGTCTTTATCAAGGTGGGTGCACCTGCCACACATGTCTTAACTGATACTGATAACGTATTGATAAAACCTTTCCACTGTGGGATTCAGTGGACAGACACTTGCCTAAGGGGCTAGACTTTATACAAGAAGTATTTATTTTTTTTTCTTGTTATGTGTAATTGAAGATGAATTTGAGTGCTTCAAAGAAGAGCATTAGGTTCAAAATCAAGAAGAAAAATTTTAAAATTGGAAAGTAAAGGATCTAGGAGATCTAGAAATTGTCTTGGTACTTTTGGAGAGTGGCATGAGTGGTGAGAGAACTATGTTACCTTTTTTGTTTTGCTTTGGATGATTCCGATTCATAATTTTAAAAGAATACTTCGGTTGATCAAACCTGCCATAAGATGTATTTATATTCAGCTTCATGGATAAGATTCTTCAGTGAATACTTTTAAGAAGCAGAGTGAGATAAAAGTTAAATTAAAAAAAAATCACATGTACTACTTACCTGTAATCATTAGCATGTAGATTATTTTCTGGGGGTTTTTTTGACATTATGTTCCAGTGTCCAAAAGACGTTGACTTCACTTCTAGTCCCATAACCAAAACTTCATTCTTTGTTTTGTGTCTATTTCTCATGTCGTGCTCTTTCGTTAGTAACCTCTTCTGGCAACACATTCCATGTGTTCCGTTCTTTTTCGTATGGAAAGTTTATAGCTAGTAACTCTCACTATTGATCTGATATTTTAGGTATTGTCAGTTGGATAGGTTTTCCTGTATCTGATAAACGTACTGCCAATTTTAGTGAGTCCTAAGTCCTTTTTTAGAGGCCATTTGACTAAATGTAGACTTAGGAAGAACGATTTCCTCTCTTTATAGAAGATAAGGAAGCCCTCCTCATTGCTGCTTAGAAAAAAATTACGACAAATCCAGTGAAAATCTTACTATATTTTCTACATGGGAGCAAGCTGTAAATGAGCGGTCGTAAAGCATGACCATGCCTTGAACCTTTTAAACACAAATGCTTGTATTCTTTCTGGACATCCAGGCTCAAAGTCTAATAGTTGGTTAGTGAAGATCTGACTAGTGTAGATAGGGGTTTTTTTGGTGAGAGTTTCTGTTATTTTTTACATCCTGTGCAGGTGTGTAGTACAAGTGATGATGGAACCACAGGGAACACTTCTGCTTTTCCTAGCCTCTGAGTGTATTTAGAGGGTTAAAGCAAACTTTCAGGTTATTGATGTATTATACTCATTCTGAACACTTAGTGTATTGTTACAATATATAAATGGATAAGTTTCATACTATGAATTAAATACCTAATTACATGTTAAATAAACTTACTAAAACGTAGTTAAAAACCAACTGCTGTCACTTATTTTCTTTTCCAGGTTTGTAGTAATGAAGCTACTTGCATTTGTAATTTCTCCTGGGCTGGGACAGACTGCAGTATTGATGATCCTATCAGGGATACTGGTGGCAAGAAGGATGAAGGACCCAAGGGTTTGTGTGATTTCAGTTTTGATGTTCTTTCAAGTATTTATGATGTTTTTCTGTTGATACCTGGTAGTGGAAGTAGCATATAGAAAGAGAATAATATTGTGCTGTCCTGCTTACACCCAGACAGTAAAATTCTGCTTTGTGTAGATGAAGTAGGTCTTTCTGCTTTGAGAATTGATGAAACTTTTATTTTTCTAACCTAAATTTGGGGAAAATTTCAATAGGTAATGATACATACTTTCTGTTTTTCCCTTCGTCCCTTGTTCTCTATTTTTTATGATCATTTTCTTTGTGATTGAAATCTGACAAAGTGTAGCTCTTATTATTTGTATGATAATTGAGTATTTTTGTTTTACTAAAGATTTACAGTTCCCTTAGCTGTTCTCATCTAATTCAGAGAGCTGTGGCATAAAAAAGGGAAAAGTGGAATGTCCCTGGGGAAAAAGCTTTGATTCTTTGACATCAGATTTCAATGGGAGTAAAAAGAAATAAATTAAGATTTTTAAGGACTTACATTATTCTAAAGACTATTATTGCTTACTCTTATGTATTTAGTAGGTATTTCAACTGAATATGAAATATAAATACAAAGAGGAGCTATTGAGAAGAGCTAGTGAGGAAATAATGCATCAAAAAAGTTTTTCAAAGAGGAAGAAAAGCACTTGAGATTCTCTCTGACTTCTCTGCCAAAGAATGTCTTTGGATTGTGCTGTCCAATTTTTTAATTTCTTTCCTGTTGTCAGGACATTGTCCAACATCAGACTATATTTATCCAGTGTTATGCATTTACAGATAAAGTTCCCAATAAACTGGGAAACCCAAACAAAATTTTTCTGCTGTGTAGTAGTTCCAGGTTCTTCTGTCCCTTATACAAGGCTGATGGAAAGAAGACAGACTTGTTTAAAAATGTAGTCCTTAGAGCTCAGACTCTAAACTCCTTAAAATATCCAAGGTTTCAAGGCAGGACAGGATTTTGGTACGTCCCTCCAGAATGGCTCTACTTCTGTCTTGTGTGCCTTATTCTTTTGCCCCTTAGCAGAATGGTTCTGGTAGACCTTTACCAAGAACTGTTGAAGAGGTCGTCTTAAAACAAGTTACCACTGTGAAGGAGGCTCTCTAGAACAGTCCAGATTTGTATTAGGGAATCTGTGCAGGTGCTTCCTGGACTCCTGACCCCACCGCTGTTCAGTGTAGAGCTGCCTGGTTTGTACCCTGTCTTATAAAGCTGCTTGTCGTTCCATTTCCCGTAAAAGCCTTCCTAACTGTGGAACGCTGCTTACGGAGTCTTAAAAAAATATAGGGAGAACAGCACTATAGAGCTGGTTCCTTCTCTTTGTGTGTGGGTGAGGGGAGCAGCGTTTACAGTTGTGACACTGAGAGTGCATGGATTTTATACTGCTTACTTCCAAATCCTGTAGGTAAGAAATAATTCCCTCCTCTGTCTAAAAGTCTATAGGAAAGGCAACACAGAAGGTACGCTTAGCTTGGTTAGATTTTTGTAATTAAAATTAACTCATCGAATTCAGAATGGAAATACCTTTGTGAAAATTAATACATCAATGCTGAAATATCTGGGAAAAAGTCTTAAATGAGTAGTATCTGCATGGATTTCTGCCAGTAGGTACAGACATAAAGTTTAGCCTGCATTTTTCAATGGAGTCCTCTGCAAAAAGGCAGAGTATTTTTTTGTACAAGGTGGCTCAATGATTTCAAAAGATGGATTATTTTTACTTATGTTGTTATAGTAATTTATTGATATTGAAGCACCTAGAAATGAATTTAGGAGCCTGAAAACTGACAGCTACCGTAATCTCTTTTGGTGTGCTAATAGAGGAATTCCTTTGTGAGAAGATGTCAGAAGAATACAGGTGGTTTGCTGTATTGTAAAGATCCAATGTACTAAAGGAGTTTCCATTAAGTTTTTTCCCCTTACTAGCGGTACTTCCTATGTCGTATGCCAATTTACAAGTCTGAGACAGAAATCAAAATACGTGTTTTTCCTTTGCCCTAAATTTGAGTTTTGTTACATGTCAGAAACAGAACGCTATGATGTGAAAATTCACGTAATAGATTTAAGATTTTTCATACCATAAATCCAAGAATTTTTCTTACTACAATTAGAGCATGTATAGCCAGGAAGTATTGCTATTTATTTATATATTGTTACGATAATTGTCAACTGACTGCTACTCCTGCTGCATTTTTCAGATCTTTCCATCATCCATCAGTTGCTTTTGGCTCCATACTGTATTTCGGGATTTAAAAAATTAGTGGTCTTTATGTTGGTATTAATACACGAGTCTTGAATTACTCTAAACTCAGCAACCTACTGTATCCTGTACTAGCAGACCTACACAGCATGCTAGCAGTTTGGGGAAGACCAAGAGTTCTTGCTGTTAATTTCTGGCTACTGCAGAAACTTTTAAGTAGTGTTGGCTAGTAGTTTTGAAATCAGTAGGACTCCATATGCACACAGGATTTTTCCTTTGCAATTTCATTTGCAGAATGAGGCCTTTGTTTGACTAGTGGAATAGTGTGCGTTTGGGTTTTTTAATATAAAACTTGTGTCTCGTGTGCGTGTTTGTGTATATTTGCGAAACAGGAAAAAATTATGAAACCATTTCAAAACAGACTTTATTCAGCGAGAAGACTATAAGGTTTTTGTCCCTTGGAAAAATTCCCATTAGACAGGGAATTCAGCTGCTTCTTTGTGGTCTGTTATGACTCAATGAATCTGTCAAGCTTTTACTCTTTAACACAGGAAATGTATAGATGTTTTTTCTCCAAAGACTTCCCTTTAAAATGAAAAATAAGGCCTCAATGTCTTAAGAGAGACTACTATATGAACATATTGACACTTCCAGGGTGTTACCTGAAGCACATTTCTAGGGTAGGTTTTTCCCTTTAAAAGGTGTTATCTGTCTTTAGGTCATATAGATAAATAGAGAGTCCTGTTGATAAATGCAATAACAAAGGAAAATATTACTAACTAGTAAAGGAATGAAGTTAAAAGTTGTTTTTTTTTTTCTTTTCCTGCGATGGAACTGTTTCTAAACAAACAGTTTCACTTGCTTAGTTATATTATGGATACAGTAAGTTTCTGGTGATCAAAAGAAAGTTTTCTTATTGGTGATTTATTTACATTTGGCTACATAAGCAGTAGGTTGAGGATGTTCCCTTTTTAACTAAATAATAGAATCACAAGCTAAAAGGAATAGGAAAACATTTACAGGAAAACTTCTCATTGAAATATTTGCACGCATTCAAAGAAAACAAAATCTAGCTCATTTCAGAATTTTTAAAGCTACAGTATTTGGTAAATAATGGTTTGTTAGGAGGTTTGAATTGTTTATCCGACGATGGATTATAGCATAAAATATTCCTTTGAGGAATTATTTCATGTTTTCATTTCAGACATACATGTGATCATTTCCTTAAAAAATCTTCCCTTTTCCCTCCACACAGTGAGCATGGCCACTAACAGGCTAATAGGTGCAGTGGCAGGGACCATTCTGGCCTTGGGGGTGATTTTTGGAGGCACAGGGTGGGGAATAGAGTAAGCATTTTTCTTAGTCTGAGTTTTATGTTTGGTGCCTAGTGTGTGAGGTAACCGTACGCACCCGAGCCCTCTGTGTATTCCCCCATTAGCTTTGTCATGTGGTGACCGTATTTGTCATGTGATTTGACTGTGTCTGTGTCATGTGGTTTGCTCATGCAGTGTTGAACCTTCTCCTGTCTGGGATAATGTGGGGCATAAAACAATAAGTTTGTGAATTTTTACATTGTCACGGTAAAATTAAATGTCTAAATGTTTCCATTACACCAAATTATAAAAATAATGGGGAAAAAATGGAAGTTTGTGATTATTTTGCAACATAGCTGAGTAACGTGGACTATTTCGTAAAATGCAGAAATTGTTTATTACAGTCTATGGGGCTTCCAGTCTAATAATAGGTCACACGATCTAGCTAGGAAGATGAAAGCTGATGATAATAGTATAGACAGCTAATTTTACAGTAAAGCTTCTGAATGTTCCGTTGCTAGGACTCTGTTACCTCAAGGCAGCAGAATGCTGAAGTATAGAATTCATATATAAAGAATATGTATGTGCAATTTTTATTGTCTTTTCATAGTTTCAGGAAACTGTAATCTTAAGTGTTAGGCCACTACCTCAATTTTAACAGTGGCTATGAATTGTAGACGTGTGTCTGTGTATGTGTATGTATACACATATAAAAATGCCCATGTAAGAACCCTCTTCATTCTGCATTCACTGTGCAACTACAGAATAAATTGCTGTGCTTCTGCTCTTCCCAGATTTCCAACAGCGCCATCTCTCCGAAGGGGGAATCATAACAAGACAGTTTGTGATTTCTAATCAGGCTGTGTGACAAAGCAGTGATGGACAGGTCTAATCACGGCTGCACAGGCAGTCTTCTGGTAGGCAGCGTTTTGCATGTCTGAGTTTGCAGCCCTGGATACAACCTTTTTAGCTTTTGCTGAACTGGACTGTTACGTGAAACTCATCTTAGATTGTCAGAAGAGACCTTTGCACTCAGAGAGGACAACTAATAGAAAAACAAATAGAAGGAAGAAGGTAATAGGTCATCTGCTTGAGAAGGATCACATGTCTGTTCTGCTGGTGGCTTTTACAGCTGTTTGCTGAAAACTGAAGACTGTGAAGATTGTAGAGGTTTGGGGCCCAGATTCTGGAGCAGAATATTAATTAACCTTCAGGTTGAGGACCATTTGCCTTTTGCTTACATTCTGCCTTGTACCCTTCCGTTTTTATCTTCCCTTACCTGCTGTCTCAATCCACTCAGCTCTGACCAACAACCCTGACCATTTGTTCTTGCTCCTGTATCCTTCTGCTCTAATTCAGCTTTTCTTCATCTTTCCTCTCCTCTGTCACTCGCTACCTGACTCATTCTTCTTTTTGTTTCTATCCGTTCTTCTTTCCTGGATCCCAGCAGTCTTTTCTCTGTCCTCTGGTTCCTGCAGATACAAATGTACATTCAAGGCAAGCCGCTGTTACTTCTTGTTGCTTGGTTTAAAGAAAGCACGTGGGGAACACACATACCCTCTCTGTCCCTAACGCCCTTCAGGCCCTGGTGGCTGTTACGGTCAGTGGCTGCAGGGGAGGTTGTGTTCATCACAGCCTGATGCCAGGTCCTGCCCTTCTTTCTCCTTCCTTGGCGCTTCACTTGCAAATTGCAAACTTTTCTTCAAAGTGCTGAAATAACTTTAGTTTCTTAATGCTTTACGAATTTATTTTAGTAATCATGGGGGACAAAATGGCAGAGTAGTTTTTTTCCAGATTTCATCCTAAAATGAATACTTAACTTTGATAACTTAAACCAGAGGATTTGGCTAGCAAAGCGACAGGCAAGAAAAGAAAACATCAAACTGCCACAGTGTGGTGTTACCTGCAGGACAATCTGCGGTAAACTTGCCTCTTCTACAACTAGCAACGGTTTCAAAGCAGTGGATATTAATTCTTGTGGAGTCTATCTGATGGTGATGAAGATTTAGGGAACAGTCTGAAGTCCACTGAAATTACAGGTGTTTTAACACCTTCAGTTGAATTTATATCAGCGTCCTAAAAGATGTCTAGAGATGCTGCAATAGCCACGCCAAAGCAGCTCGCGCCTTGCAGGAAGGGGTGGTGTGCCAGGTGGTTTCCGTGCAGTTGGTTGCAGGAGCTTCCTCCTGATAAATCTCTGCCTGCGGGTTATAGCAGCAGTATGGCGGAAAGAACAAGTACACCCCAAGTGTTGCGTCTTGTGGTAGTCCGGATGGAAAATGACCCCACAGTATGGTGGTTGTGAAAACCTGCCCCTTACTTTTGGTTTGCGTGTCAGGTATCTGAGTCCAGTGACTAGAGAGGCTTCTTTCGCTGAAACATATTGATTTATACTTTTCTTCATAAATGTCACTAACTACAACGACCTGATGCAAAGTAGGCTTCATACCGGTAGCAAAATTCTCGTTTATTAATAACACAATTTCCATGATAATGCTTAATAAAACATAAGGCATACATCCTTAAGGTAAAGGTATAACAGGTACAGGTAGTTCTATTGTAAGTACTTTTATGTGCACAGTCTGTTATGGTCTTAAAACGGCTTACCAATAATCCTCTTAAATCTCTCTATTTTGAAACTAGAATTTATTAACTGGAGGACTCTCTTCTGGTAAACAAGTGGTTGCTGTTTAGTAATCATAAGTATTCCACCTGCTTTGTTTTTATACTTCAAGTCAGAAATGAGATGATAGACTTGTTGATTATCAGTGAAATTTTACTTTGAATGTAGCCTTTTCGGGTTCTTTACTAGGAAAAATAGCTGGTTTTCTGGCTTCATAGGAACTGCCACTCCCAGCATGCTGTGAGACAGTTTTAAAGTTTTTCCAGAGCAACGGCCATGCCTTTATCCACAGCCATCTATTTACTCTGCTCTTAGCTCTCTCTAGCAGATAAGGCTAATTCTCACAGGCATTGGATTTTCAGGGTTTCTTTTGTGTTAAAAATGAACATCACTTCTTTAGTCACTGACGCTTTATAAAATTGGGTCAGATCCGAAAAGTGTTTTTGTCAGGACCCATTTATTATTTAACATGCTTTAGTAACTTGTCTATTAACTGAACCTGATTGTTTTGTATATTATCCTTGTCTGTTTAAATTTTGATTGAACTCTTCCATATTTATAGTAAATAAGACCAATACTGATTTTCTGTATTGAAAGAACAAACTGTTGTTTGTTGAATGGATGTGCACTATGAAATAGATTCTGCCCCCCGCCCCTGAACATTTAACAACCAGGGAACATAGTAAGAAGAGGGATGTAAAAAAGTGGCCATTTGGTACTTCCTTATCTAAGTTACGACTGTGTTACTCAGTTAATCTTTGTACCTCTTTTGTGGGAAGATAGCATTCTATGGCTAGAAAGAAATCGGCTTCAGAATTTTTCAAGGCTTCTAAAATTTATTACAGATAAATTAGCTGCTGTGTTTTCAGTCTTTTGTTGTGTGCAGTCATTTGATAAAATCCAGAGTGAGCCATAGATCTGAGTCGGATACAGCAGCTCATTAGGCTGCTGTTGAAAGCAGGCCTCAGCTGGGGATAGAATGCCTGTGGAATGGCATTTGTTTACGCTCCACCATGCTCACTCCTGTTGATCTGAGCCAGGTGTGACTTTAAAGGTAAGTCCAAGTAAGATACGTTCTTCCAAATGGTGAAAAATTACCTATTAATTATGGTTGTCAAATTTGTGCACTGCTCGTATCTGTAAAGCTCACTATATTTCTTTTCAGTCCAAGTCTTTTATTCACATTCCTGAATACTCTTTGTGTAGGAATTGCAGGAAGCAATCTTTAAACCTTGCTTTACTTTTAGCTAATCTGATCCAGAAGCACTGATCTGGGAAACGCGTAATGGATGCAATGAAGTTAGGTCACTGCAGTGAATTTTAAAACTGAGGGCCCGTACTTACTGTCGTGTCTGGGACTGGGCAGAAGGTTTTGTGATACCCACCTAACAGCTTAAAACTTTCAGTTGTTGCAGCTGCCCTTGCTCTTTCCTTTGCTGATCTCTGGCTGCTCCTTTTTCTTCCTTATGTTAGCTGTCCGACAGTTTTCCAAACTCAGTTTCAGAACATTTAAAATAGGAAAATTTCCATTGCTTGGTTTGTTGGGGAGACTGGGATAGGAGATAAGAACTGGTTTTGAAGGCTATTGCTGGATATGTAAACGTTTAAACAAAAAGTGCAATATGCTGCAAAAGAACTGTTGGGTTGGTTTCATTTTGCCTTGAGCTCAGATGCAATTAGCTTTACATCAAAGACTGCTCAATAGGAAGTTTTTGTACAGAGCAATTAAAATGTTACTCAAGCCTGTTGTCAGTTTTCCTCCACCCGGTGTACACAGAGCACTTACGGGTCAATTATGAGTATCTTATTTAGGTGTTCTCTTGCCCTCTTCAGAAAATTGCACAAATATATTTTGTGCTGCTTCTTTCTGTTGCTCTTTTTTCCTGCTCCACCCTTCCCCACTTTGTTGTTAAGTAGCTTCTTGAGAACGTGGAAGAGATGCTTTGATGTTTGGAAAGCTTAATGGGAACACAGCTTTTATTTCAACTTTTGTTCCTTATTATATAATCCTTTGCTTTTGTCAAACAATTGTTTGTAAATTTAGCATTGACGTAACTGTAGGGAGTCTGACTCTGATTAGCAAGTGGTGCTAGATGCTCGCAGCTCAAATTAAAATATCTGCCACCTTTCAGGACCTCCATGAAAAAAGTTAGGCTTTTCCATGTTGGTTTTTTTTTCTTCTCGTTTTCCATAGTCATACAATGTTCATACTTTTTCCTTTAAGTTAAGGAATTATTCACAAATATCTTAGTGTCCTCAGCTGCCAGTTCATTCACTAGGTAATGGAGTAAGTCACAATGGAATTTACTGTCTAACACTGGATTTTTGTCTGTGGTAGAAGTCAACATAGCACAATGCAGAGAGCAACAGCTTTGTTCATTCTTACTGTTAAAGCAAAGTAAGTTGGGCTTGCTGAAACTGTCTAGAGACATCACCGTGTGTGCTGTCTGTATTCCTTGAATTGTTTGACTACCCTTCAGTTGCTTCACTTAATGTGAATAAAGTGGTTGGTTCGTATGTCTGTCTTACCATAATCCTTTATCACAGGTCCTAGTGCCACCAATCTTATAATAGGCTCCATCGCTGGTGCCATCCTGGTAGCAGCTATTGTCCTTGGGGGGACAGGATGGGGCTTTAAGTAAGCAATGCCGCATGTCTTCTCTTCAGTGGCTATGGCATTTCTATTTCTTGCTTACATCACTAAATTTTGAGTTCCTGCTACAAGACTTCTAAGGTAACTCCCCCCCAAACTATAACAAACTGCTTTAAAAAGAAAGAATTACGTCTGCACTGAACAAGAGGAGGAAGTGGATTTGAAACTAGCAGATGTCATCAGGGTGCAAAGTTGAAGAACAATAAAAGAAAGAATTTAACTGTCATGAGTTCACCCTAACGCTTAGGGAACAAGGTCTTTTTTTCACCTCCGAGTAGTGGCGTTGTTCTCAGAAGCTGACTACAGCGGTTGAAAACCTCAAAAGATACGTGTCTTGAGGAGTGTTTATTTTGGATGCAGTAGTCCTTTCAAACTGATAAGCGTTTTTATAATTAAAGACTTCATGTGTACATGGTAAGTGGTGGCCAGTAGCCGAGTAGTTTTCAGTAACAAATGCGTTGACACAGTTGAGTCCAAAGTACCAGAGCTAACTTTTGTTTGTGGTTACTGATTTTTTTTTTTTTTATTATCAATTCACAATTTTTTAAAAAAAATTCAGGTTTAGAGAGAACATTTTGAAATCTCGAACTGTCTCCTGAAAGATGAAAACGTTTCTCACCCAATTCTAGTTCACTGTGGTTTATAAGTACGAAGAGTAAAATACTAGTTATTCTGCCTGTGACCGTTAAAGCAAAGAGGGAGTCTTGTACAAAGGTAATTAATTCTTGCCTTTTTTTGTAGTGTCAAGTCTAAGTCATAAAAAGGATCTAAATTTAGAATCAGTGTTTATAACCTTACAAATCATGGAAGTCTTAAGCAAAAGAACAAAGTAATTTTTCACGGTATTCAAGTTGTGATTTCTTTTCAACGACATGAATCAAGATTAAGCCATGATACAACAATAAGCCGTAATTCCTCAATCAGGTTTTTATAACAATTCGAAGAATATTTTATATGGCCTATATTCATGTTCCATGTCTGAGTTGAGAAGAAAAAAAAATTTTCCCTAATTGATAAAGAAGACTATCAAAGTAGAATGTAGTGATCAGGCCATGTTTATCTGTTAATTCACTTTCAAAGGGCACCTAAACATGTTTGTTTACTTCTGGTTTAGACTGTTGTATTTTCATAGTGTCCAGTGGCCTTAATTACACATGCATATAGAAGCAAAATATTTCTAAGTCTCTTTCAGCCGGGCTGAAAAGAGAAAACAGACTTTGCCCTTTCTTCTGGACAAGGCAATGATTACCTCCTCTTGCACTGCCTGCCACTGTCGGTGTTTTCAGAAAGAGCCAGCACCTGCCGCATTCATTTTTCTCTAAATGCTTGTTCTGAGGGAAGTAACGCTCCCTGCGCTTCCCCCTGACACTGGCAGGAGCTGCAGAGCTGCCTGCATCAGCTGTGGGAGTCAGGGCTCCTCAGGGGCTTTGGTAAGAAAAGATTACGTACAAAATGTGTCAAAACGTCCGTCTTTAAGCACAGGTGTATGATCTTCATAAGCCGTTCTAATTCCTGCT